TTACAGCCTTTTAAAATGTAAAAACCATTCTTAGCTCAGAGACAGGCTGCAGCTCTGACCGAGATGGTGTCGTGGACGTAGAGGGTCATAATGGAAAGAGCACAAACTCTGATCCCCCACTTGCTGTCTGTGTGACTTTGGGCAGGTCACTTCACCTCTCTGTGCTTCAGTTTCCTTCTCTTTGTAAAATGAACAAAATAATAGTTCTCACTTCCCAGGGTGGTTGTGAGGATTGGGTGGGTTAATCCAGAGCAGCATCTGGCTTAGACTAAGTGCCATGTAAGTTCTAGCCATTGTTATGATTTAGTGCTCCATACATGTTATTTCTGAGAGGAAGGGGATAGCCCTGGAGTCTGAGAAGGCTCCCCAGAGGAGGCGTCTGGGTTGGACTTAGCTGTGCTAGGACAAGTGAGTTCTGGATGGGCAGAGAAGAGGCAGGCATGAGAGAGACTGGAGGTAGGGAGGGGTGATGAATCAGAAAGAGGTTTGGGGAGAAGGGGACAGGGCAGCTTGCAAAAATCTAGTACCTCACACATAGTAGGTGTTTTGATGGGCTCTCTAGAGTTTTTAATTTTTTTCTTTTTTTTTCTTTTTTTTATTGGGGAGCGGTGTGTTTTTCCAGGACCCATCCAAGTCAAGTAGTTGTTTCAATCTAATTGTGGAGGGCGCAGCTCAGCGGCCCGTGTGGGGATCGAACTGGCAACCTTGGTGTTACTAGCACTGCGCTCTAACCAGCTGAGCTAACCAGCTGCCCCCATAGTAGATGTTTTGATAGGCTCTCTAGAGCTTTTAATTTTGAAGGCTTTGAATGACAGGCTAGGATGATGATTTTGATATCACCATGTGCTGGGTGCCATTCTACTACACTTCACAGTTACCTGTTTTGTCTTCACAACAACACCCTGTGAGGCATATCCTTTTGTCATCCCTGTTTCCCAGATGTGGAAACACAGACTCAGGGAGATTAAGTCCCTCATGTGAGGTCTCCCAGCTGGTAAGTGACAGAGTTGGGGTTGAAACACAGGCAGTCTGTCTGCAGAGCCTACTCTCTGCCCCTTTGTCCTGTCCTGGCCCAGTCAAAGGCGAGCCCTTTAGCAGAGAAGTCACGTGACCTGGCAGGCGCGCCATCGGCTGGAATAGGGGATAGACTGGGAACAGGACAGCCCCTGCCCACCCCCACCCCCACTGCCCCCATTCGTCGGATGGTGCCTGGAGTGATGCTGCTACCTCTCTGTTCTTCCTCCCCAGCTGGGACTTGGCAGACCACTGCCCACCTTCCCCACCTCAGAATGCACCTCGGACGTGGAGCCTGACACGCGGGAAATGGTGCGAGCCCAGAACAAGAAGAAGAAGAAATCTGGAGGCTTCCAGTCCATGGGTGGGTGAGCCAGGCATCTGGGGACTTGGGGGAGTGGCAGCGGGGCTCACTGTGGTAGGTGTTGGGTAGACTGAGGCAGCAGACACGGTGTCCAAGCCAGTCAGGCCTCCCTGTGCACACAGCGGGCCTGACTCAATGAGAAAGTGGTTAGAGCAGGACTGAGGGTTATGCTGGTGCAGGTACAGGCAAAGACATTCGGAGATTTACTGCGTGATGATGGCATTTCAGAGCAGAGAGGGAAAGATGGAATAGCTGCGTGGGATTGGGACACCGGCTAGATGGAAATAAAGCTGAACTCTCTTTCTTGCTGTTTGTAAGTCAGCATGTGGAGCAAAGATTTAAACATCAAGATGAACATTTTTATAATCTTAGGAAGGAAAAGAAGGCTTTTCTAAGTGTGACCCAAGCGCTGGTTACTTTGACCCTTTTCTCAATTAGACACGTGTATGCCAAAAACACTGTAAACTAAGTTAAAGTAAATGCTCTGTCAGGAATGTATTAATATTGCAACCTATGGGACATACAAAGGGTATAAGTATCCCTAATATGCAAAGAGCATTCACAAATCAATAAGAAAAAGACAGGCACCCCATAGAGAGTTGAGTGAAGAACATGAATAGTCAACTCCCAAAAGGAACCTAGACAGCCAGTTATTATATTAAAAATGTGCTAAAATTCATCAGAAGTCAAAGAAAAGAGCCAATAAATGCATCTATATATGGCTATATTTTGCCTTTCTGAATCACAAAGATAATTGACCAGAAAGCAGCTAAAATCATGGTGCTTTCCTGGCCCTGGGCCTCCCGTTGTCCTCCCATCTCCACAAGCCCAAGTCGCATGCAGTCTCCGAAGGCCACCTCCTCCCCCTGATAGTACCATGTGCCTCATTTGTCAACACCCATGCTCACACCTGTCACCTGCCCTTGTCATGGAATAATACTCTCTTCATTATAAAAGCTACAGACATGCGAAAAATAGAATGCAGTGGGTCTCCGCGTGCCCATCACCAGCCTCAGTGGTTTTAAAGTTGGTCTCGATTTAGCCACGCCCCACCCACTTGTCCCCATTCATCCCGGAGGAGTCTGAAGCAAGTCCCAGAACCCACTCCTTGTGTCCCTAACTACTTCCCGCTTCCAAGAGAGGCAGGACCGTACACACCTGAAACATGCACACAGTTCTCAGTACCGTCCAAGATCCCATCAGCATTTACACACTCAGTTGTCTCGTTGCATTAAGAGTGTGTTCAAACAGATTCCACTTAAGGTTCATATTCCCACAGTAGGTAGATTTATCTTACATCTCAGTCATCAGTTTCGCTCTGTGGCTTTTCTTTTTTTTCCTTGCTATTTGTTTGACGACGTAAGAGTCACCTGTCCTGTGTAGCTTTCTGGAGTGTGGTGCTGTGGGGGCTCCCCCGGCCCCCTGGCCATTGCCGTGTCTTTTCCAGGCTTGAGCTACCCAGTATTCAAAGGCATCATGAAGAAGGGGTACAAGGTGCCGACACCCATCCAGAGGAAGGTACGCTGCTGGGTTTGGGAGGAGGGGATCAGCCACCTGGCCCTTGACAGTCACCCCTTGTCCCAGCTGTCGCGTCTGTCGCCCCTCTCACTCTGAAGCCACACACAGCTTGCCTGTTTCATAGGTGTGGAAAGCTGGGCCCAGTAGAGCAGAGACGCGACCCTGGGCTTCTTTGCCACCGAGGCTGCCCACTGCTAAGCCCAGCACAGGCAGCTCGCAGGCGCCCTGTTATCACTCGGGACTCGTGATCGTTCTCAGACTTTGAGCTGAGAGGGAGACATTCCTTTGGGGTCCCAAGGAGGAGAACTAGATAGGGAGGTAGAGTCTGCTTAACCTGCAGAAGGATGTTCTAACCGTGGAAAGAGTTGGGTTTAGTGAGCTGCTCATCCCCAGAGGTGTGCAAACTGGCTTCGGCAGGAATGGGATCAGGGCTGGGCGGCAGGCCCCTTCCCAGTCACTGAGACCCCGTACTTGGCCCACTCCTTGGGGACTTGAAGCACTGGATCGCGTGCTTGGGTGCAGGCGCTGACCCGGCCCCTCCCCCACTCGTTCCTCTCCAGACCATCCCGGTGATCCTGGATGGCAAGGACGTGGTGGCCATGGCCCGGACGGGCAGTGGCAAGACAGCCTGCTTCCTCATCCCCATGTTTGAGCGGCTCAAGACCCGCAGCGCCCAGACCGGGGCCCGAGCGCTCATTCTCTCACCCACCCGAGAGCTGGCCCTGCAGACCATGAAGTTCACCAAGGAGGTATGTCAGGCCCGGGGGGAAAGGGATGGCTGGGCTGAGCTGGGGCCAGTGGGGCGGCCAGAGTGGGCTGACTCACCTCCCCCTCACTCTCTCTCACCCTCTCTCTCTCTCTCCACAGCTGGGCAAGTTCACTGGCCTCAAGACTGCCCTGATTCTGGGCGGGGACAAGTAAGAGTCCCCTGGACTGGGGGTGGGGTGGGGGGAGCAAGTCACCCCCGGGCAAGCACGTGCCTCCAGGGTATCAGATTGACGGAGCCTGTGTGGCTTATTAACCATAGCAACTTCTCGGCACATTCCAAAAAAACCCGAAAAACTAACCAGGGGAAACATGCTGTAAAATCCCCAAAGAAATTTCCACACAACCACTGCACTCAGACAGGGGTTCTGATGCTCCTGACAGACAGCTGGTGACACACAGGTCACCTAAACGGTAGCTTAGTTGTGTATATTTTAATATACCTAATGGTGGGTTGTTTAAAAGTAGAATGCACAAAAATCAAAACATGTTAGTAATAGCTCACATTTGCAAAATGTGCTTTTCCTGATGTGCTGGTACCATCCTTCCAAGGTGGCAAGCACCACACCTGTTTTACAGGTGAGCACACGGAGGAGGTGATGGGCCGAGAGCCATGCAGTGGTTTGGTGGCGCAGCTAGGATTTCCTGCCTCGCCACTCTCCCTGTTAACAGTTTCTCTCTCACAGGACACCCCACCCTTATTCTCCAAGTCACTGTGACCAGTCGCTGCCGATTCTGAGTGTTTTGCTGTCCAGTGCTTTTTTTGCCTGCATTATAATTTATTATCTCTGTAGCTCGTGATTGTGAGCAGTGCCCCCCTCGGCTAGGCCTGGCCCAGAATTCTGGCTCCTACAAGTGTCCCAGGGGTGTTTCAGAGGATGGCCAAAGTTAGGGATGTATGTGCTCAAACGATTTAAGAACAAAGAGATCCAGGAAATCGGGGGGTTCTAGGTGCAGCTGGCAGTTCCAGTGTTAGTTGGTAGCTGGCGCTGTGGGTCAGAGGCAGCTTTGTTAAAGTTTGGGGAGCAGGAGAGAGGTGGGTTCTGGGGCTGAGCCTGTCTCCTTGGGAAACTTGTTGTTGTGTTGGTCCTTTTGAATGTTTGAATTTGTATGTCTCGTCAGGCAGGACATTGCCTTTGCCTAGGATCTCAGCAATAGCCTTCGCCCAGTTGCAAGCCAGAGAGTGGGACTCACCTGGGCATTTGGGATGGGGGAGGAGAGGGAGTCGGCAGACCTGTTCTATCAGGCTGACATCTCCCCTTCTCCCTAGAATGGAAGACCAGTTTTCGGCCCTGCATGAAAACCCTGACATGTGAGTGTGGTTGGGGACAATGCTCTGGGGTCCCTTCCCAGATGGCCAATGGCTGGGGACTGAGATGGGGGCTTTGCTGGTGCCCCTGGCCCTGGGTGACCTGGCCTGCACACCCCCTTCCAGAATCATTGCTACCCCTGGGCGCCTGATGCATGTGGCTGTGGAGATGAACTTGAAGCTGCAGAGCGTGGAGTACGTGGTATTCGATGAGGCCGACAGGTAAGGCTGCAGAACCCGCTGTGCACCGTGTCCAGGTTGTCCCCCGAGGCCGGGAAGGCAGAGGGAGGTGAGGTTGGCTGGGAGGAAGGGCTCTGCCAGGAGAGACCCGTGTGGCCAGGATCAAAGCAGCATTTTCCCAGATGCCACACACCACAGGCACCGCCGGAGCTGACGGGCCCCTGGACCAATAGTTTTCTTTATATTATTTTTGGGACTATTGGGAAGAATAATAAAGCAACAAACACATGATTTCAAAGACAGGAAAAGTAGCGCAAGTTGAGAGTGCAGGCAGGATCAAATTACAGCTCTGTGTACTTGGCCGAGTCACTGAGGGTCTAGGGGCCTTGGTGACCTCAACTACAGAGTGGGGATAAAAGAGCATGAACCTCACAGGGTACTTGTGAGGCCTCAGGAGCTGATATTCGTCCAGTGCTCAGAACGGTGCGTGGCTCAGAGCGAGGGCTGCTGTCACTTATTTTGACCTGAATTTGTAGGAAACAAAACAGAACAGACCCAAGATTTCAAGGTCATTGTTGCTTAAGATGAAGTTGTCAAATAGAGAAAAAGTGAGCTGAGTTCAAGAAACGTGAGGCAAACAGCACACCTGGGAGGGGTGAGGATGACTGAGGTTTGGAACTCACTGGAATGGAAGCCCCTGCCTGACCCCGTCCTGCCCTCTGCCTTCCCAGGCTGTTTGAAATGGGCTTTGCAGAGCAGCTGCAGGAAATCATCAGCCGCCTCCCAGGGGGCCATCAGACCGTCCTGTTCTCCGCTACACTGCCCAAAATGCTGGTGGAGTTCGCCCGGGCCGGTGAGGGAGCAGGGGGAACAGGGCTGGGTGCTGGGACTCGGGTTGGGCCCCAGGGGCTGGTCCCTCAGTGACTCCCCTCCACCTGCCTCTGTGCCCACCACAGGCCTCACGGAGCCCGTGCTCATCCGGCTAGATGTGGACACTAAACTCAACGAGCAGCTCAAGGTGAGGCTACACCCATACTGCTCCCCACGCCCCTGTCCGGGGGCCCCCAGAGCCAACCCACATGGCCCCTCTCTCTGCAGACTTCTTTCTTCATCGTGCGTGAGGACACCAAGGCGGCCGTACTGCTCCACCTGCTGCGCAACGTGGTACGACCCCAGGACCAGACGGTGGTGTTCGTGGCCACAAAGCACCACGCCGAATACCTCAGTGAGGTGAGAAGGCTTGGCAGGCTTGGGCAAGACACCCCTGGGACCGCCTCCTGAGAACCTGCACCTCCATCATTAGCTTGGGGCTGCAGTTCCATGTGCGGCCACGAGAGGGAAGCACGAGAGCGGGACACGGGCCTGGCCAGGGCTTAGTACTATTTTTATTCTTTTAAACGTTTCTGTTGTTGTTTTTTTTAATTTCAAACGCATACTAAAGTTAGAAAATAGCAATAATGAACTCCCAAGTACTCGGTTATCAACTCATGGCCAGTCTTGATTCAGCTATTTCCCTCCACCCAGGTTATCTTGAAGTATTTCCTAGCCATCCTATCATTTTGCTCTAGATTTTCAGTGTCCCACGTGTTTTGCTTTTTTTTCTATTATCATTATTATTATTATATATATATATTTTTTTTTTTCCTTAGCTGTGCCATCCTGCCACCTGTTGGCAGCTCAGTGGCAGCTCAGCTTGGGCCGGGAATTGAACTGGCAGCCCTGTTGCTCAGAGCTCGCACTCTTGAGCGAGCTCTTAACCAACTGAGCCACTCGGCTGGCCCTGTGCTTTGCTCTTTAAAATCGAGGCGGACCCTGCATGCAGTAAGCTGTGTAAAGTGCCCTCATTTCACATGAGCAGCTTGATGAGTTTTTCCATATGTATACACCTGACATCCTCAGCCACATTAAAACATGGGGTGTCCCTGTGCCCAGAAGGCTGCCGGGGGCGCCTTTCCACTCAGTGCCGCCCACACCCTGTCAGCCACACCTGGGGTCTGTTATCTGAGGATACAGTTCACTGGGTTTCACTTACTTGACATACATTTAACGGTGCTTCCCCTGTGCGTGCAGCTGCTGGGGTCACTGAGGAGTGAGACCAAAATAGTCATTTTTAAAGTGTCGTTAACCCTTTAACGGTGCGTCCTATGTTCTCAGCACTGTGTATGTATAAACTGATTTATCCTCACAACACAGCTACAAGGAAGGAACTGTTGCTCTCCCCATTTCTACAGATGAGGACAGCAAAGGCACAGAAAGGTTAGGTAACTTGCCCAACCAAGGTCAGGCAGCTTGTGAGTGACAGAGTCAGGATGAGGCTCACCGCCATGTCATGGCGTCCCCATCCCGGACCAGCCGCCTTTCCTCTCTCCTGCACGTGTCCTCCTCACCCCTCTCCTGTTCCCATCTTGACTCTGAGCAGCTGCTGTCGACCCGGGGGGTGAGCTGCGCCCACATCTACAGTGCCCTGGACCAGACGGCCCGCAAGATCAACCTCGCCAAGTTCACGCACGGCAAGTGCGCCGCCCTCATCGTGACTGACCTGGCCGCCCGGGGCTTGGACATCCCGCTGCTGGACAACGTCATCAACTACAGCTTCCCGGCCAAGGGCAAGCTTTTCCTGCACCGCGTGGGTAAGGGGCCAGCAGGGCCTCCGAGCTCTGCTGGGAGCTGAGGGCGCAGGGCTGGACTCCTGCCCCTACAGGTGGAGAAACCGAGGCCCAGGGACTTGACCAATCAATTAGGATCTCGGGGGGAATGCAGCCCGAGCACGAGGCTGATGGGCAGCCCCAGGCTCTATGGAGGTGATTCCCCACTTTCCGGATTCCCCAGCCCTGGACTTCTCTCTCTTACCTGTCGTGGCGCTGGATGGTGTGGCCCCTCAGCCTCCTCCTCCCTTTTTAGCTCCCCTCCTGGGCACCTTTGCAGCTTTTAAATAACACACCGACCCCTCTGCCTCCCGTTCCGCCACTGCAGACAGGGTCTCCTGACTACCTGCTTTGTCAGGTCAGCAGGTTGGGCCCCTCAGCCCCCACAGGCCAACTCACTCGACATAATGGTTCAGTTATAAAATTAAGACACGCACATGGTAGGAAAGTTGGGAAATGAAGCAAAGTGCCTAGAGGGCAGTAAGGCACCCGTACACCGTACCACAGGTACCACAACCCGTGGTTGTGGCGGTGACTGCTCACCCAATGCTCCCGGCAGGCCCTGCTCCAAGCGTTTCACTCGTAGCAGCTCTTTCTGTTTTCACAACAGCCCTGGGTAGTGGGTCTGGCAGCATCAGCTTCTCTTTACAGATGAGGAACCCAGGGCCAGGGGGCTAGTAACTGGCCAGGTGTCATACAGGTAGCAAAGTGGGACAGCTGGGATTGCCTCTCTGGTGACACGGCTGTCACTTTGGTGTCCTTTGCCACTGCTGCCTTCTTTTTTGAAATTTGAGGTTCGTGGGAGGCCTGCTGGATCCCCAGCTGCACATCTGGGGGCTCATCTCCCTGTTGGTTGTTGCTTGCTGTGCCCTCGTTTCTCCTGCTCTGGGGAGAGCTGGCCCTATGCGTTCCTCAGGGGTCCCCAGAGCCCCCAAAAGGAATTTCTCGTGCACCGCGTGACCAACAGTGTACATCAGACCACCCCAAATGAATCTTCCAAATGTGGTGAAACTTTGTTTTTGCCAGATGCAGAAACAAGCCAAAACGAAATGCTACGCGTGGAAATTTACTTAACACAAACTTAGAATCACGCTGGACATTTTTTTGCATTACCCTTTGTTTGCATCAGTGTACGTCATGCAACTTTTCATTCACCATTAAATGTCACTATGACGGGTCAGCAAGTTATTTCTGTAAAGGGCCAGAGAGTAAATATTTTAGGCTTCGTGGGCCATATCGTCTCTTACTGATCTCGGCCCTTGTAGCACGAAAGCAGCCATATTTGGAAGTAAATGAAGGAGCTTGACTGTGTGCCGATAAAACTTGATTCACGCAAACAAGCAGGATGTGGATTTGGCCACCGGACCCGTTTGCCAGGCCCTTTTCTTTGCTGTATAACTCCCACCATTGTGGTCATTAGCTAATTAATTTAACCAGTCCGCTCTCCTTAAGTCTATAAGTGGTTTCCAACTTGGAGCTATTCCGGTCAGAACTGCGGTAGACACCCTGTATGGGAATTTTTGCATCCCTAGTTATTTTTTGGGGGGGAATCCCCCAAAGTGGGAATGCTGAGGACTTTTGATGCTGACAATGAACAGAGGCTTTTCTTTATCTCGGCTAACTTCCCAGAGCACTGTGTTGGCTCATGCACTCCCATGCAGGTAACCCTGGTGACCGTCGGTGCCCCTTCCCCTTTCATAGGTGGGGACAGCAGCTCAGCAAGGTGCAACCTTGGCCTGGCTTGCACCCTTAGGGTTGGACAGGGGACTTTTTCTGGGCTGTGGAGTCTTTTCTTTGCGGAAGCTTGACCACCTCCTCCCTCAGGCCGTGTGGCCCGGGCCGGCCGAAGTGGCACAGCCTACTCCTTGGTGGCCCCAGACGAGGTCCCCTACCTGCTGGACCTGCACCTGTTCCTGGGCCGTGCCCTCACCCTTGCCCGATCCCACGAGGAGCCCTCAAGTGAGTGGAGGCTGGGGTGGCGCTGGGGTCCCTCGTGGAGTTCATGGTTCGGTTGGGGGACAAAGCTGTCGTAGCTTTGGTAGGGGGTGGGGCTGAATTTGACCCCAGGAGAGGATCCCTATACAGTTGTCCCTTGGTATCTGGAGGGGATTGGTCCTAGGACCCCCACAGATGCCAAAATATGAAGACACAGGAGCCCCTTATATAAAATTGTGTAGTATTTGCATTTAACCTGCACACATCCCTCCATATACTTTAAACCATCTCTAGATTACTTGTAACACCTAATACAATACAATGTAAATGCTACATAGTTGTTAAACTATTGTTTAGGGAATAATGACAAGAAAAAATAGTCTGTGCATGTTCAGTACAGGCTCAGCCATCGTAGCCCTAACTACACAGGACACCTCAGCAACCACGGGGTCTATTCTGTGATCCAGGGGCCAGAGTTGGGCGGGGGAGCTGGCGGGTGGGCAGGACGGCAGTCCTCTGACCCGGCTCGGTGCGGGGTGGCAGGTGCGCTTGGAGTGGATGGCGTGCTGGGCCGGGTGCCGCAGAGCGTGGTCGATGAGGAGGACTGCGGCCTGCGGAACACCCTGGAGGCGTCGCTGGAGCTGCGGGGCCTGGGCCACGTGGCGGACAACGCGCAGCAGCAGTACGTGCGCTCCAGGCCGGCGCCCTCCCCCGAGTCCATCAAGCGGGCCAAGGAGCTGGACCTCGCGGTGCTGGGCCTGCACCCCCTCTTCAGTGAGTGCCTGTGCAGGGCGGGGTTGGGGTTGGGACGGGGGCGGGCCCTGCAGGGCCGAGCCCCGGCCTAACGCCTCCTTCCCCGCCAGGCTCGCGCTTCGAGGAAAAGGAGCTGCAGCGGCTGAGGCTGGTGGACAGCATCAAGAACTACCGCTCGCGGGCGGTGAGTGACGGCTGGGCAGGAACCCTGTCGAGCTCCTGGCCCCCAGCAGGGATTCCATCTGAGCTTGCAGCTTCTTAATCTGTAGCTCTGCCTCTATCAGCATCTCGAGGGATGCCCCTTGTTCTGGAAGCATCCCTGGGGGTCCACAGCAGGTTCCCCATATGACAACCATTTCCTGCCACTTTCAGATGGGCAGACTGAGGCTCACAGAGGGAGTGACATGCCCTAGGCCAGTTAGAGGCCTGAGAAGCTGGCTTGCTTTAGCCTTTTACCTCCTCTTGACTCCCATGGGCACCTCATCTTGTACCTAGGGGAGGTGTGCACAAAAGCAGGGGAAGACCTGCCCAGGAGTGGGCAAGCCTGCCAGCCAGCTGGCGTCAGGATGAGGGAGCTGGAGTGTCATGGCTAAGAGCACTGGTTCCAAAGCCAGGTGAACCTGGGCTGATATCCCAGCTCTGGCTCGCCTAAGCTGTGTGACCTTGAGCAGGTTACTTACCTTCTCTGGGGCTCCCTTTCTAATTGTGAGTTGCAGACAATGAGAGTACCCACTGTGTAGGGTTGAAAGGACTTGGGGAGGAATGCTATAGAGAGCCCACCAGGCTGGTGAGGGTGGAACTGGGGAGGAGAGGTCAGTGGGTGAAGGACTGGGGTGTCCCCTTCACAGACCATCTTTGAGATCAACGCCTCCAACCGGGACCTGAGCAGCCAGGTGATGCGTGCCAAGCGGCAGAAGGACCGCAAGGCTATTGCCAGCTTCCAGCAGGGGCGGCAGGGAAAGCAGGGGGGCCCAGCTGGCCCAGCCCCAAGCTGCCCAACACTGAAAGAGAAACAGCCGAAGGAGGAGGAGCAGGCAGCAGAGGAGGATGTGGAGGTACGGACCTCACCCCGGGTACCCCGGAGTCTGGGCCTGGGCCTGGGGGAAGGGCTGGGTCACGTCCCAGCAGCCGTGGGGCTGTCCTCAGGGCAGTCGCTGGGCTGGATGCAGTCCCACCCCTGATACTTGTGGAAGTCAGCGGCTCAGCCTCAGCCTTTCCATCTGCAGAACGGGGTGTTGTACTCGTCCACCATCCCTCACCTGAAACCCTGGCGGCCAGACGTGTCTTAGGATTCAGAATCTTTAGGGTGGGTGCACCACGTAGGACATAACGCCTCAGCAGGGTCTGGGGTGTCACCAGAGGTTCTGCCATGCGACATGCCAGTCCCCTCACTGATGAGCTAGACACCAACTAGACAGCCTCTTGTTGGCTCTGGTGGCTCCTGCTACCAAGTGAATTTCAGGAAAGCTGGTTTTCAGAACATCATGGACCAGGGCACTGCAGCTGAGTGACTGTAGCATCTGGTCCTGGGCCTGCTGGGAAGATGCCAGACAGCACGTGACAGATCCCCAGTGGTAGTTGTGTCTTTGTCATCGTCACCATCGGGAGTCTCAATCCGAGGTCCAGGGCAGGTGGAAAGGGGCAGAGCAGGGACTGTAGGCAGCAGTGAGGGTGTGACATGGGCAGCATCAGACACTGGGCTTCATGACAGAAGGCAGGGCTGGGGGACTGCAGAGGTGTCCCGTTCACATGGTGGGCAGGGTCCTGGGCTTGCTCACCCACCAGTCCGTCCCTCTTACATTTTTGATTTGGAACGAGGATTCAATAGCCAAAACACACAGTTGAAAACCCCTAAACTAGTCCCTGTCATATAGAGCAAGGCCAGACCCCTCGAAGGGCAGGGCCTCGGTCACAGCCCGGGAGACCAAACTGGGACTGGAACGTGGGTCCCTCCCTGGTTGGCACCCTCGCTCCCGCCCCCAACCTGTCCTGCCCCTGCTGGTGCTTGAGGCGGGGTGGTACTGCACTGCACATGCAGAGGAGGAAACGGAGGGTCTACATGGCAATAGCAAACGTTTAAAGTCACGGAGCCACTGGCCCTCAGCTCCAGCTGGACTGGTGGTGAGGGGCAGGTGGGCTCCCAGGGGCTGCAGATAAGACTGGGCCTTGGTCTGCCAGGACGTCTTCACAGAGGTCGTGTGCCGGAAGCGGCAGCGGCCGCGGCCAGGACCTGACCGGGGAGCTAAGAGACAGAGAGAGGAGGCCTGGCAGCGGGACCAGGATTTCTACGTGCCCTACCGGCCCAAGGACTTCGACAGCGAGCGGGGGTGAGTGGCCAGCCGGTCTGGGTGTGTGGGGGGGACAAGTGGGGCCTGATGGGCCCCCATCAACCCTGTGGTATCTCCCCCCCCCTGCCGCAGCCTGAGAGTCGGTGGGGATGGAGGCGCCTTTGAGCAGCAGGTGGCTGGCGCTGTCCTGGACCTGATGGGGGACGAGACCCAGAACCTGAACAGGGGCCAGCAGCAGTTCAAGTGGTGAGTGAGCACCGGGGCACAGCCCTTCCATGTCTGCCTGTCTGCCACAAGGTCCCACGCACCCAGCATGCGACCCCCTGCCTGTCCTGACTCCCCTTTGATCTCTACAACAGGAAATAGGTCCTGTATTGCATGGATTATGATCTATGATCCCGTACAGCGTGGATTATGACCTATGACCCCCCCACTCTCTCCCCCATGTGATCAGACACAGCAGCAAAGGTGACCCCTTTTTCTGTTTTGTTCCCCTGTGGTTACACACAGCAGGGACGATGGACACCCCTCCCCCCACATACACAAACACTCAGCTAAGAGGTGGCAGAGTGGGGATTGGGAACCCTGCCCCTGACCCAGGCCCCCAGTTCCTAATCACCCCCACACTGCCTTTGAGACCTGAGCTACCAGGGAAAGGTGAGGAGGGGCAGGGGACGGGCCTTTATTGAGCACCTACTGCATGCCAGACATGGCCGCTCTGCTTTTCTGGAATCCTCCAACAACCCAATGAGAGGGTCAGGGGAGGAAACGGACCCAAGAGGAGCCAGCCGCCACCCTCCGTGGCAGCCCTCCCAACTTCCTCTCCTGCAGGGACCGGAAGAAGAAGCGGTTTGTGGGACAGTCAGGACAGGAGGACAAGAAGAAGATCAAGACAGAAAGTGGCCGCTACATCAGCAGCTCCTACAAGCGGGACCTGTATCCTGAGGGGCGGGGCTAAGTGGCTTCTACCCAGTTCTGTGGGGGGGCGGGGCCAAACACCTACCCCGAGTCTCCTATGGGAGGGGGCGGGGCCGAGCGCCTTCTACCCTCATCTCCTATAGGCGGGGCCTGTATCTGCTGGAGGGGGCGGGACCTTCTCTCAGCCCAGGATTCTCAAGGGCCTCAGGATCCCACAAGCAGCCTCCTTAACGCGGCTTCCCAGCTATCAGAAGTGGAAGAAGAAACAGAAAATCGATGATCGCGACTCGGAGGAGGAAGGGGCATCTGACCGGCGAGGCCCGGACCGAAGACGTGGGAAGTGGGGCCGAGGCCAAGGTAGGATGATGTACTTCAAAACAGGTCGGCACGTGGCACATTTGGTCATCGGAGAACTTGGTCCTCCTTGATCCGGCCTGGGACCCTCAGCCGGTGGCCGGCTACGGTGGGATTTGAACCGCTCTATCTGCCAGATCCTGTGCTTAATGACCATAAGATGGGCCAGCTGCCCTGCATGCCAGGACCTGAGTCAGCCCCTCAGGGCTCTGACAGGCTCTGAAGGGACAGGGCTGGAGCCCGTCTCCCCTACTCCCAGCTTGCCGTCACAGAGGGCTCCCACTTGCCGTGTGGAGAAAGGCTCTGTGCTGGCCACTCACCACACGTGACCTGGCGCGAGAAGCCTGAGAATGCCCACCCTACAGGCCAGGACACTGAAGTAGGTCACGAGGGCAGCGACTGGCCCTGGGTCACCCAGCTGCCTGCCACCCCCACAGGGGCCTTCCCTGGGGAGAGAGGAACTTGGGACTGTGTCCCAGACTCTCAGGCGGGCCTTAGCCCCGCTTGTCCCTGTCACCTCCCACACACCCCAACCCCACAGGGCTGGTCCCTGCCTTGTCGGTGTCTCTCTGAGTTTGCGTCCTGTAGCCTGTGGCCTGTTCTCTGTCACGGCCCCTGTGGCTGTCCTCCGCCTCCCTCAGGGCCTCCTGTGCTCTCTCCGCATGGTCTCCGCTCCGTCGGTCAGCGTTTCGCCTTCTCGCTGATGGCATCTCCTGTGTGTCTCCCTCTCTAGCTCTCTCTGTTTCAGCCTTTGATTTTCTCTGACACTTCCTCTCTGTCCTTCTCTGGGTCTCTGTCTCTCTTTCCATCTCTGACTGTCCCCCCTCCCCTCTCCCTGTTTCTCTCCCCATCTCTCAGTCTTTGTGTATCTCTTCACCTGTCTCATTGTCTCTCTTCCTCTCTACACCTGTGCAGCCACGTGCGCGCATACATACACACACACATACACACATCTCCCGGCTTCGTCTCTCTCCATCTGTCTTTCCCCTCTCTCTGTGTCTCTCTCTGTCTATGCGGATGTGCCCCTGCCCACCCTGGGCCCTCTCGCCCTCACCCCTCCGCTCCTGCTTTTACCTGGGGTGGAGCAGGCTGCTACTGTGTGCTCACTGGGCCTGGGGGTGCGGGTGGCCTGCGGCTGTGAGAAAGGCAGCTCTCCTCCCTGTGCTTTGTCCTCGTTGGAGGTGATGGGTCCCTGTCAGGCGCCCTGGCCTCAGTGAAGACATTGGGGGCCGCCTTAATGATCATCTGCCGGGGAGCCCTGTGGGTCAGGAGGAGCTGGGAGGGGAGGGGACACAGAAGAGGAAGGGGACGCAGGGCTTAGTAGGGAGCCAGGAAGGCAGGGCTGAGTGCCTCAGAGACCTGGCAGAGCAGGTAAGGCAGGACACTGACCTCTGCTGCTGCCGCTTTGCTGTGTGGCCTCAAACCAGCCCCTGCCCGTCTCTGGCCTCTCGATTGCTCTCCTGACAAAGGAAGTTTAGGCTACATCCGCTTCATCGAACAAGCCTAGAGCATGCAGTCCATGGACAGGGGTTGGAGTCTGCCTCAGTCGCTGCCGGGTCCCTGGTGCCCGGCATAGAGAAGGTGCTCAGTCAGCCTTTGTTGAAGGATAATCATACCAGTAACGCCGAGGAGTCCCTGGCTAGGGGACAGTTCTGAGCACTGTACACATAGGTGTTAACTCCTTGACTCCTCATTAGGAGGAGCTGCACCATGAGGTAGGTGCGATTATTCAGTCATTCACCGAGGGGGAAACTGAGGCACAGAGCAGTTAAGTGACTTGCCCAAGGTCCAAGAGGCCACAGCTGGGATTTGAACCCCAGCAGTTCTGGCTTGAGGGTCCATGCTACTGTCCACTCTAGTAGATTACATGAGCTTTATTAAGTACCTACTATGCGCCAGAGGCCGAGACCACAGTGATGAACGCAGAGTGGGAGTGGGAGCAGAGGGGAGCAACCCGGAGGCTTCTGGGAGGAGACCTTGGAAGTAGACCCAGAGGCTGAGCTGCCTGAATCCCTGTGCCGCAGGTGCCTCCCAGACCCGCCCGCCAGGCACCCCCGCCGGCCGCGTGCGCTCGGAGCTCAAGACCAAGCAGCAGATCCTGAAGCAGAGGCGCCGGACCCAGAAGGTGCGTTTCCTGCAGCGTGGGGGCCTCAGGCAGCTCTCGGCCCGCAACCGGCGCCACGCCCAGGAGCTGCAGCAGGCCGCCTTCGGCCGGGGCGCCCACTCCAAGAAGGGCAAGATGAGAAAGAGGATGTAAGGGTGACTCGGCCCCTCGGCCTCTCGCTCGGTCCACACGTGGACGTCAGCAAATGCTCCCTGTGTACCGTGTGCCTGGCCCTGGGCTGGGTGTCCGGGGAGCTCCCCGCAGGAACCATCGTCCGTGAGAAGGAGCGCTGCACGGCCACAGAGGGACAGCAGCTGCCTGTGCCTAAGACAGAGACATTCGAGCAGGGTCTTGAAGGGTGCATAGGAGTTTGCCAGCAAGGCCAGGCAGGTCGAGACCTGACTGGCAACTCGGCTCTTGCTACTTCCAACGTGTTCTGGGTTCAGAGGTGGTGGCCACCCGGGTCTGAGCCCTGAGTGCCTAAGGCCCACTGATGTATTTTTAATGTAATAAACGTTTATTGAGCACCTCTGGCAGACCAGGAGTGCAGTCTACTCGACGAGGGGTTGGAAGGGATAGACCCAGACTAAAACCCCAGCCAGTGTGCTGGGCGAGTTGACAGCATGTGGGCAAGTCCCGTGTGATCCCACCAGGGATCTCCTGAGAGTGGGCTCTGTTGGTGTCCCCATTTTGCAGATGAGAAAAAAGAGGCTCAGTGGACGGGTCCATTGCCCGAGGTGGGAGAGCCCCGAGGCTGGCAGTTAGTCCCCTTCCTCCTGTCAGGACAGCCTTGAAGCTCTGAGTGGACTGTGGGAGGGAGATGGGACGCAGAACCCTGGGGTAGAGGGCAGAGCTGCTCCTCTCCGGCTGTGAAGGGGTTAAACTGCCCCACCACACACCCAGAGGTCATCTTGTCCTGTGCTCCTTAGCCCCTGTGGGTCCTGGGAAGGTCAAGGGCAGCCTCTTGCAGCTGGACTCTCAGGCCACTCACTAGGTGGTCACCTAGTGCCTGTCCACGATAAAGGAGCTTTTGTGAGCAGGTGCCCTGTGAATGGGTGTCTGCCCCCGAGACCCTCTTGCTGGTCCTATTGACGTTCCTTGACTTACCACCCACCTAGAATTTACCAGAATTTGCGCCAGGCCCCATTGCAAGCACCTGACAAATATCAGCCTGTTTAATGCCCCACCTGCCCTGGAGGAAGGACCTGGTCCCAGGCCACATGATGGATTTGGGGTTGGTTTCCCCACATAGCCCTGAGTACTTGCTGTGTAGCCCTCATGCCGCCCCCACGGCAATCTGAGTGGGCACAGCCCTCCCATCTTCAGGTGAAAGCCACTCAGCCTGCACCCTGCAGGAAATGTGTACCTCCTCTCAGGAGGGGAGGTGTCTGGTCCCTGGGGGACCCCCCTCCTCCACTGCTCACCTGGGTCAGGCTAGGGGGCCGGGGCAGCGGGCTGGGCCTGAGGAAAGCTGGCCAGCATGGTAGACAGGTCCAGGATGAACTGCTTCACCTGGGGGGGGGGTCCCCAACACAGCCAAAGTCACAGCCAAGCCCCTGAGTGTCCAGTCCCCATCCCCAATGCTCAGGAGGCTGCAAAGCAGGGGTGGGGGTGGAGAACCCTTTAAAAGACAGCAGTGCTGGCGGTTCCCAGGGGCAGCGACCTGACCTAAACCTTTCTGGGTTTTTAAAGCCTCAGTCAGCCTCCCAAATGATTCGGTAGCAGATGCCTTCACAGTTTGCTACCTGCCTATCACCTGTATGATAATTAAATTCATATTTTCACTTGCATCAATTCATGTTTTTTCCTTTTAATTGGATCAGTCATATTCATTGGTGTATGACATACATCTTCTCCACGGGCGGCCCTCCTTTATTTTGTTTTAATTAACTTATTTATTGATACGAACGTAATGAGCACCCGTGGATCCACTGCCAAGAACTAGACGTTGATGGCGAACTTCCCCTTGGTCTTTCTTCACATTTGTCACTGAAATAAATATCTGAGAAGGAAACTACATCGCCACCAAAAATGGAAAAAAGTTTTTAAGTTACCCCTGTCGTAAGTAGGAGTAGCTGTAAAAATAATACAGTGAAAACGAAACCGTGTTACTGAATTCCGGCCAGCGGCTGTTGCCTCCAGGGGTGCGTCCCAGGCAGCGAGACCAGGGAGCGAGACGGGTGGCAGGCCTAACCAGCCCTCACGGAGCCTGTCTTTGTGGTAGAATCAGAGGGTTGGCTGAACACGGACTGGCTTTTACTGTTCCTTCCTATCAAGCCTCTGTCCTGCCTCAGAGCCACGCTTGGGAGAGCAATGGTCCATCTGAGTCCACCCAACTCAGGATGTGGCACAAAGGTAGGCTCTGGGGACCCGTTCTTGGCATTTGGTTGGAATCCTGGCTGTTGGCCACAGGGCCATGGTGGGATGGCAGAGGAAAAGTTGGGTTCCTCCCTCTGTGTTTCTCCCCCCCACACTCTTCTCAAGGAGGTCATGCTTTGGGAAGCCCCTAGACCCATAAATGCCTGAAGTCAGAAACCCCCTCACTCTGCTGTAAACCATGTCATGTGCTTGACGACTTTCCAAACCTGAATGGATAGAAAAGCTGGGCATCCTTGGTCCACAGTGACACTTGGATGCTGCTGAAAGAAAGGCCACTGCCTGACGCCACCACCACCCTTCCTAGGGGAGGCGAGGCCTGTGTGTGCTGGGAGCAAGAGGGTGAGGGTTAGTTAAGCGTCTCCAGCTCCTGGTTTCTCACTGATGATTTCCCTTGTTCGTGCTGCTTGAACCCGGGGCCAAAAGCAGGACTCTCGGCATAAACGTACCATGTGTCAGTATACACCTAGCCCCCACCCCCCCTGCGAAAATGAGGACGCAGACCCAGAGAGGCTCGACTTGTGGCCACATAGCAGAAGACTGTCAGAGCCATGACCAACCCAGGATTCCTAGGCAGGGGGTTTGGGCGGCCCCTGAGCCCACATCCGTGGTGCTAGGAGCATGAGCTCTCCTGGGCTCTGATTACAGAGTGGTATGCTTAACCCAGAGAGGTGGGATTTCAGGCATCATGAGTTCCTGAAGGTTTGGGTCTGCGGGTGCCATGAAGGGGGCCCTCACCTGCTCCAGCTGCCCTTCGGTGTCCTCGATGTCCAGGGCAGGTGGCTGCCTCTGATGCTGACACACTAGCTGGAACAGGTTGAGCGCCGACATCCTGGTGCGCCCCAGGAGCAGGGTCTTCTCAGCCGCTGTGTTCTGGATCTGAACCCACTTGGATTCCTGGAGAGCACCCCGCCCCTTGCCTATATTAAAGTGTGATGGCCTGAGGAGGGCGGGGCCAGCCCTGTACCGAGGGGCTCTTGCCAGAAGAGGAGTGCGGGAACGGTGTCAGGCCCTAAAGTGCTTTCTGATGCCTAAAAAACGGCGCATTAGTGCCCCTGCCCGTCGGTGGTAAGCATCGCCCATCTGTTCTTATCAACCCCGGCGCGGGGAAGTTGGGGTCCCCGCGCCCACCCGCTCCCGGCGGCCCGTACCCAGTGCAGCGTGCGCTCGCGCGCCGCCTCCAGTCGCTCCAGCAACTGCGCTCGCCGCTGGCCCTGCCGGAGCAGCTCGTCCTGCCAGGTGTCCCGCAGCCGCTGCAGCCGGGCGCGCGCCTCCTCCAGCTCCCCAAGCCGCTGGCGCTCCGTGAGCCTCAGGGCCGCCTGCGTGTCAGCCAGGGCATCGAAGCGCGCCACCAGCTCGGGAATCTCCTGGAACTTGGATGGGGTCAGGAGGGGGACTCACTCGGGCCTGCAGCCCCCTGCCCTCCCCCAGGCCACCTGGCTCTCCTGCGTCTCCTCAGTTTGCCCACCTGGGAAATGCAAGCATCACACAGCCTCTGCCCCAGGAGTGGGATTACTCCGCCCCTCCCCAACGCCACCATCAAGACTCGCAAAGCTCCCTGCCTGTGATTAATATTATAATTCACTGTTTCATTCGACTGATATTTACTGAGTGCCTGGATCTCCTCTCCCCGGCTGCCCGTGTGTCCTTGAGTAAGAGTGACCTGTCTGAATCTCGGTTACCTCATCTGTAAAATGGAGCTGACAATCACAGGACCCACTTCGGTGGGCCTTGGGGAGAATTCAAGAACAAAGCGTGTCCTGGCATACAGTTAGCGCTCAGTAAGTGGTGATTGCTGGCATACAGTCAGCGCTGCAGCAGCGCACACTTCCAAAGCTGTGTATGAGGAGGCCACCCAGTGCTGCATGGTGGCGCTGAGCCCCAACACCTCCTGCAGGGCGCTCACCTGGGGCAGCTGCTCCAGCACTTGCACTAGCAGGCGCGCGCAGGGCTCCAGGCGCTCCAGCTGGCGCTGCAGCCGGGCGCGCTCCCGCTGCAGCTCCTCCAGCTGGGCCCGAAGCCGCAGCGCCTGGGCCTCCCGGCGGCCGGCCCGGTGCCGCTCCTCTGCCGCCCTCCGCAGCGCGCAGCTACGCCGGGCCTCGGCGTCCTAGGAAGGAAGGATGGAGAAGAGGCGACGACCCTCAGGACTTGGGAGCCTGGAGAGCTGGCCGCTTCCACACACCCCCAACTCCCCGCAACACCCCAGCATTCACATGTTGAGCTGTGGGTAGCAAACAGATGGTCCCGCGGGCCAAACTCAGCCAGAATCTGTTTTTGGTCCCTTTCTCCTCTCCAATGCTTAACAAACAAACAAACAAACAAACAAAAAACTCAAATGCTTCATGTAGTACATGCGTATTTCCCACCACTCTCCTTTGTATTGGTAGAAGCACTTTTTAAATGTATGTAACCTGTCTGGCCCCTGTAGGATTGTGACTTTGTGACCCTGTGACCTGCCTCCCCACAGCAGGCTCCACTTACCTGCAAAAACTTGTCAAAGCGGACAAAGGACCCCTTTAGCTCCTGCTCCTTCTTTTCCAACTGTTCCCGGCGCAGTTTCAGGGCTGCCATCGTGGTCTGGAACACCTGGGGGTGAGGAGTGGGTGTCTGTGTGTGTTCCGGGGTTCAAGTCATCCAGTGCCTTCAGGCTCACACGTACCCTCTCTCATCAGTTGTCCCTGATCTTGTCACTGCACCCCTGCTTGAATCCATCCATGGCTCCCACCATTCCTGACGAAGAAGCCGGCGTGCCCTCCTGCAGCCCCTGCATGTCAGCGTCCCTGTCCTTCATTTAGGCTCATCTTACCCTCTCTCCTCTGACACACTATCTTCAAACCACTTGACCACCGTGTTTCGTCCTTGCCTTTCAGTCTTTTTTTTAAAGATTTTATTGGGGAATTGGGGGAGGGGAACAGTGTTGGGGAATGGGACTAGCCAAGTTGTTCTTCGATCTGCATTGTGGAGGGCGCCAGTCGCCATCTGGCTGCCCATCAGCAGCTCGTGGCCTCTAAGCTCAAGGTGCCAAGTTCAGTCTTAGTTGCAGGTGGGCGTAGCCACCATCTCATGAGGGAGTCGAACCAGCAGACTTGTTGTTAAGAGTGCATGCTCTATCCACTGAGCCATCCGGGCGGCGGCTCAGCTCAAGGTGCCAAGTTCAGCTTTAGTTGCGGGTGGGTGTAGCCCACCATCGAACAGGCAATCTTGTTGTTACACCAGCTGAGCCATTCTGCCACCTGTTGGCAGCTCAGCGACAGCTCAGCTCAGGCGCAGTGTCACTGGCCCATGTGGGAATCGAACCGGCGGCCCCATTGCTCAGAGCCCGCACTCTTAAGCCAACTTTTAACCAACTGAGCCACTCGGCTGGCCCGCCTTCCAGTCTTTGTATGCTGTTCCCTCAGCCTGTTTCTTCCTCCTCACCCTGTGCCTTTTTGCTGGATAAACCGACTTGCCCTTCAGCAAGCCCTAAGACATCACTTCCTCCAGGAAACCCTCCTTAATCACCCCCCCTGTAGAGCTAGGGGCTTCCTCTGGGCTCCCACAGTTCCTTCTCAGTGCTTCCCCGCTCATAGCTGTCACCAGCTGGACACTGGTCTGTCTTCTTCTCTAGACTGTGAGCCCCATGAGGGCAGGGACTGCAGTGAGGCCACTAGATCCCAGTGCAGTGCCCTGCACATAGTAGGTGCTCAGTGCACATTAATTTATACCAACAACTGATCTCATTTGGTCCCCATTTGACAGACAAGGAAACCAAGACTCAGAGTGGTGAAGTGGAGCTAATAATTGGCTCCATCATATCCCACTGCCCTGCTCACCACCATTTTTTTTTTTTTTTGGATCCGGGATCCCAACAAGTCTCAGGAGTAAAGTGGGCACTCACCTCCTTCTGGGCCCTCAGGCCCTGGTCCGCCTCTGCCAACTCCTGCCTCTTCTCCAGGAGACGCAGCACTGGTGGGAAGTGGTCTGCATTGTGCTCTGGGGTCTTCCTATAGGAGCTCAAGGAGGATGTGGGGGTGAAGGAGGCTTGCCTCCTGACTCTTGAGTCAGGGCGCTCACACGTCCCTCTGGTGCCTGAAACGCCACTATTAACCACCTACTGGCTGTTGAATTCTTCATTCATTCAACAAATTGTGTTGAGCACCTATTCTTTGCCAGGCACCGTTCTAGGCACTGGGGCTGCAGCTGGGAACAAGACAGACAAATCCTCCTGCCCTCCAGGAGCTGGCATCCTGCTGTGTGTGGGGGGGGCACAGAAAATCATGCTAACAAATAATAATAAATAATGCTAGGACATGGTAGGTACTAAAGCGAAAAATCTTTCACTGGAGGGGTCGAAAAGTTTCTCTGAGGAGGTGACACTGGAGCAGAGGTTGGAAGGGGAACAGGGAGAGAGCCCTGTGGATATCTGCAGGGAACAGATAGGCTGAGGGTACAGTCACTGCAAGGCCCCAAGGGAAGGACCTGGGTGTGCAGAAGTTGCAGCAAGGGGGCCAGTGTGGCCAGAGGGGAGGCAGGGAGGAGGAGAGAGACGGGAACTGAGACCAGGGAAGTTGGGGTCAGACTGTGGTGAGCGAGGACTTTGGCCTTGACTGTGAGTGAGGTGGGGCAGCAAGGGAGGCTCTGAGCAGAGGAGGGGTCCCTCTGGCTGCTGTGGGGGCAAGGACAGTGGGAGGGACAGGGCAGCTGCAGGAAACCAGTGATGGACTTATACACGCAGAGATGTGGTTCTGATCAGAGTGGATGTAGTGGAGAGGTGAGACGGGCTCGATTCTGGATACAGTTTGCGGGCTGAGCTGATGGAGTGATGGGGGCCTCCCCGTAAGGAAGAAGTCAAAGGTAAACCTAGGGCCGGCTGAGTGGCGCGATGGATAAGAACTGGCTTGGGACGCCAGAGGGCCCCGGTTCGGATCCCACATATGAGGGCCAGTGACACTGCCCTCTACAGCTAAGATGCTGAACAACAGCTCAACCTGGAGCTGGGCTGCTGTGAGTCGCCAGCGACGGTGTAGGGGAAAAAAAAAAAAAAAAAAAGGTAAGCCTAGAAGCCAGAGGGACGTTAAGGACGGAAGAAGGCTGAGTGGGGGCAGGGGAGGTCAGTCCCTTGCTATGACCAAGTTAAGACACACACTTGTTAGACCTTTGGGGGAGGGTTCCAGGAGGCCGCTGGGTGCTGGGAGGTAGGCTCTCAGGAGAGGAGGGACTGGGCACAGCCCCATAGGGTCAGCTGTGTAGGGAGCAGAAGGGATGCACATTCAATTCAGCAAGGCTTTGCCACCTCTGGTCCAGGGGAAATGCTCTCGTTTTACAGATTCTAAGACTGAATTGCTGAACACAAAGCAGGCATGGGACAAGCTACCTCCGTTCTTCCTTTAAAATGCAGTTTGCAGGCATGGGGGTGGGGCAAGAGTCCACAGAGTAATTTCTTCCCACCTGGGCTCAAATGATCTAATCTCAGCCGGATGTCAGTTGGGGGTGGGATCAAGGGCAGGTTAGAGACCTGGGCTATTGACCCAACTCTGCCCTAACTAGCCCTGAGACCTCGGGGAAGTCGCCGGCTCTTTCTGAGCCTCAGACTTTTCATCTGTGAAGTGAGGGCGATAATCTCCCACCCTGGACAGCCCAAGGAAGCCAGGATCCGGGGATGTGGGGAACGGAAAGCATGGGCCATCCCACCCACTCCTGCCCTCCTTCCAGCCATCCTTTTACACCCCCCACCCCACCCCCCTACCCCCGTCCCGTGCCACTCACTTAGGCAATTTTTCTTGCAAGGCCTGTCGGAAATATTTCTCCCAAGGCACTGCCATTCTCCCAGCAATTGCCCCGGCTTTCTTTCCACCTGGCTGGAGTTTTGCGGAAGGCTAGGAGGCCCTGGGGGCTTTCTGACTGAGGGTGGTGTGGCAGCTTGTTCAATAGTCCCAGAAGGCAGCCACCAAGCAGGCCCTTGTTGCCCAGGCAACCATCCACGCAACATTCCACTGCCTGGCGGAGTGAAGCCAGAGGAATCCACCCTGGGAGGGGAAAAGGAGGGGACTGCAGGGAGGGGAGCAACCTCTATCCTGTCTGGAGGAGGCTTTAGCTCCAAGTCTAAATTGGGGTGCAGCGGAGAGGACATGGGCCCCTCGGTCAAGAATGTATCCCTCTTGTTGCCCCATGTCTGGTCAAGCCTCTTCCTGGCTCGGTGGAATGGGGCCTCAATAACATGGCTGTATGCTCAGGTGTCCACTCAAAAGAAAATTATTGGGTCCCCACTGTTTGCCAGGTCTTGGGTGGGGTCATTTAAGATGCTGAGGGCCTACCATGTTCCAGCCCTTTGAGGGTTCATTCCCTTTTCTGGGGATGGGGCTGCTCTCGCCACGTCTCACCGAGCCCCCAGTCTTTTTAGGGAGAAAGAGGGGCCATCAACACAGGTGACACCAGCTTGGAAGGGACCCACAACCTGGATTTGGAGGATGGACGTAGGGGAGGAGGTAACATACGAGGTCTGACAAGTTCACAGACTCATCCTAGAACAAGTGCTATATGCCTCATTGCTGAATATCACTACAGTCACCTTCGAAGTACTCCCCTTGGGAAGCTATGCACCGACGCCAGCACCTAGTCCACCCTTCAAAGCAATTTTGGAACTCTGTTTCTGGAATGGTCATCAGAGCTGTCGTCAGATTACCCTTGATGTCCTGAATGTCATCAAAATGTCTTCCTTTCAATATTTCCATTATCTTTGGGTAAAGAAAGCAGTCATGGGGACTAGACCAGGTGAATACGGAGGGTGTTCCAATATAGTTATTTGTTTACTGGCTAAAAACTCCCTCACAGACAGTGTTGTGTGAGCTGGTGCATTGTCGTGATGCAACAGCCATGAATTGTTGGCGAAAAGTTCAGGTCGTGTAACTTTTTCACGCAGCCTTTCCAGCATTTCCAAATAGTAAAGTTGGTTAACTGTCTGGTTGATAAAAATTCATAATGAATAATCCTTCTGATATCAAAAAAGGTTAGCAACATCATTGCAACAAGCTCGCGATCTTATTTGTCAGACCTCGTAGTTTGAGCAATTACTGTGGGTCAGACACTGTGCTAAGCACTCTGCATATAGTATCTAATTTAAGCCTTAAAACAGCACTGTGGGGGTGGTGTTGGGAAAAAGTACCCAGAGTAAAATTGCAAATACCCATGGGCCTTCCACCCAGAAATAACAAACACTAGCATCTTGTCATTTTTGCTTCTGATCATTTCATTTTTCTGTTTTAAATTATTACTTTTTCATGTAAAAAATGCATTTTCTTTTTTAAAAATGTATCTTTTTATTGCAGAGTAACACTGTTAAAAACTTATAGCTACTTGTAATGCTTATACTGCTTAAAACAACTCCTAAGTATTTTGTTAGAGCATGTTTTTAAAAAGGGAGCTAAAATAATTTACATTTTATCTCTGAGCATTTTGCACATACTATCTTTCTGCATAAATTGATGCGAAGTTACAAGGTACATGATCTATTTTTTTTCTTGATTTAAAAACTATTGAGGTATAATTTACATAAATTAAAATTCATTTTTTTTCACATACAGTTCTATGGGTTTTGGCAAATGCATGAAGTCATATAACCATTACCCCAATCAAAATACAAAACATTTCCATCACCCCAAAAAGTGCTTATGTCCCTTTGTAATCAATTGTTGTCCCCACCATGGCCCCTGGCAACCCCTGACCTGTTTGTTCTTTATCCTTATAGTTTTGCCTTTTTCAGAGTGTCATAAATGGAATTATATACTCTGTAGCATTTTGAGACTGGCTTCTTTCACCAGCAATATTTGTCTCAGATCCATTCATGTTGATGTGTGTATTAGTACTTCATTGTTTTTCATTGCTGAGTAGTATTTGCTTGTATGCTATGGTTTGTTAATTCATCCCCCAGTTGGGTTAGTTCAAGTTCTGGGTAATTATAAAGATAGCTTGTATTTATGTGCAGAGTGTGTGTGTGTGTGTGTGTGTGTGTGTGTGTGTATAAGCCTTCATTTCACTTGTGTAAATGTGCCAGAGTAGGACTGTTGGGCCATAGGATAAGTGTATGTTTAACTGCATAAAACACTGCAAACTGTTTTGCAGTGTGGCTGTACCATTTTGATAGTCACACTAGCAATGCATGAGACTTCTGATCACCCCATATCCTTGCCAGCAGTTGGTATTGTCAATTTTTAAAATAGTCATTCTAATAGATGTCTAGCTGTGTGAATCAGTTTTTTATTTCGGGATCATTGTAGAGTTACATGCAGTTTAAGGAATAACAGAATACAGGGTGACTGGTTAGCTCAGTTGGTTAGAGTGCTGTGCTGATAACACCAAGGTTGCCGGTTCGATCCCCTGTGAGCTGCACCCTCCTTAAAAGAGTCAATTATGCCACCGTAGCATGAAAGCAATGTGTAACCAATAACCATGGCTGTCCCCGAATAAAAAATTTTTTTAATTAAAAAAAAGTAATACAGACAGATCCCATACCCCTTCCACCCAGTCTCCCCCAGTGGTGACATCACGCACAGCTCTGGTACAGACCACAGCCAAGGGACTGCCTTTGACACAATGTACTTGACCTTATTTGGATCTCACCTCTTTTACCTGCACTTATTTGTATGACTGTGTGTATTTAGTTCTATGCAGTTTTACCACTTGTAGCTCTTGTGACCACCACCGTCAGGATACAAAAGGGTAAAGGGGGTCAAATATATAGTGATGGAAGAAGGCTTGACTTTGGATGCAATATACAGATGATGTATTAGAGAACTGTACACTTGAAACCTATAGAATTTTACTAACCAATGTCACCCCAATAATTTAATAAAATAAAAATAAAGATACAAAGCATTTATCTCAAAAACCCCCTCCTGCGATGCTTTTACTAGCTACAACCACCTCCCCCCCCCCTTGCCTCCCTAACCCCTGGCAACCATTCCTCTGCTCTCTCTGTTTTTTTTTTCACCTCAGGGATGTCATATAATTGGAATTATATAGTATGTAACCTTTTGAGAGTGGCTTTTTTTTCACTCAGCATAAGTCCCTTGAGAGCCATCCTCCTTATTACATGTATCAGTTTGTTGTTGTTGTTGTTGTTGTTCTTCAGTTTGTTGTTTTTGATTACTAAGTAGCATTCCACAATCTGGATGAGACCACAGTTTGTTTAACCATTCAGCTTGGAGGATATTTGGGTTGCTTCCAGTTTGGGGCTATTATAAATAAAGCCACTCTGAAGATTCATGCCCCGGGTTCTGTGCGAACATAAGTTGTCATTTCTCAGGTCTATCAGATGCCCAAGAGCTCAATTCCTGGCTCCTATGGTAAGTGCATAGTTAGGTTTTTTTTCTTTTTTAAAGAAACTGCCATATTCTTTGCCACAGTGGCTGTGCCATTTTACACTCTCACCAGCTACGTGTGAGCTGTCCAGTGTTTCTGCATCTTCGCTATAATCACCGTTTTGTGTTTTAGCTCTTCTAATAGGTGTGTCGTGATATTTCATGGCGGTTTTACTTTGCATTTCTCTAATGGCTCATGATGATGAGCGTCTTCTCGTGCTTATCTGCCATTTGTATATCCTCTTCAGCAAAGTATCTGTCCATGCCTGTTGCCTATGTTCTAATTGGACTTTTCCCCCGCACTGTTGAGTTTTTGAGATTTCTCTCCATATTCTAGAGATACGTCTACGTGTTCTACAGGTTGGATATTCATTTTCTCCCAGTCTGTAGCTTCTTTTTTCATCCTCTTCACATGGTCTTTCGCAAAGCAAAGTTTTAGATTTTGATGAGGTCCATTTTGCCACCTTCTTCTTTACGGGTGATGCTTTTGGTGTCAAGTCTAAGATGGGATTTGAACTCAAGCCTCCTGGGTGTGGAGTCCACCCTCTTCATCACAACACTCCAGATACAGCTGAGCCTTTCTTGGGTCTTTCTCACCTCAGGCCACACTGCCTTCCTTTCCTCCTGAGGCTGCTGTCATCTTGAAGCCAGTATGCATCCTTCCCTTCTTAATTTCTGTTCTTTGGAGGTTTAAAAAAATTATTTTTGGCACATGTTTATTGAGCACCTACTATGTGTCAGGTGCTGTGAGAGGACGCAGCAGTGGATAAGACAAGACCTGCCCTTTTGGAGCTAAATAAGGAGACCAGGTGAATCAAACGACCCTGCAGCTATGTCATCACATTCCGATAGGGTTAGGAGGACAGGTCTTGAGTGCAAGGAGCAGGGCAGGGAGGCTTCCTTGAGGAAGCGACATGTGAACCCAGACCTGAAGGATGAGGGAGCAGCCTGTGCAAAGGCCCTGAAGCGGGGGGCTGGGGCCCCTCCTAGAACAGAGCGACGGTCTGTAAGTTGGTGTGAGGAATTCAAGGCTGATGGGGTAGGTCAGGGCTAGATGGGGTCAAAGAGTGGCCAGACCTGTGCTACACGTGACAGATGAGGGAACCTAGGCCTAGGGGAGTTAGGTGACTCCTCTAAGGACATGAGGCTGAGAAGTGACAGGCCCCGCCCCTGCCCTGGGACTGTTTACAGCGCAGAGGACAGGAGAGCAGGAGGTCCCTACACAAACAACTTGTCTTCAGAAGCTGGAACAATGGCGATCGCTCCGGGGCCAGCCAATCCACGTCCAGGCCTCAGCATTCCTCTCTGTTAAATGGGGTGCTGCTTCCAAGTCCTCGTAGGGCTCCCTGGCCACGATGCTGAGGCTGAGGTCCCAGCCTCCCACCTGTCTCTGTCCCCTTTGTCCTGGGGCCGCTGCGTGACAGGAGGGCACAACTTCTCCTTTGGTCTTGGCCACAGCTGTGGAAAAACCCACTCTCCTCATCCCCACCCCCAAGTCTCAGGCTCCAGTGGCTTCTTTCTTCCTGCTTCTCCGTTCCAAGACAGGGCGGGGAGGGGCCCTTTGGAGAGTAGGGCTGAGGAAGGAGGAAACGGGTGTGCACTGACAGACACCTTGTTTTCAGGCCGTGGGAGGGGGGGACTTAACCACCCTGCTTCCTCGGCAGCCAGCCCGCCGGAGGGGGGTTTGGAAACCCTGCCCGCTTCTCCCACTGCTGCCTCCTGTCCCACGTGGCTCCTTGCCCAGAATCGTGCCCAGCGATCACAAACAGGGCTTTGTGCCTCTGAGACAAGTAACAGGCATGCTTCTCACCCCAACCTGAGCCAGGGCTGGTCTACCTTGCCCTGATCTTGGCCTCAGAAGAGACGGTGCCACTCCCAGGAGAGGAAATTGAGGTCTATAGGCTGATGGGTCTGTGGGGCCAGAGGAGGGGTCTGCCTCCTGGTTTGGGGGGCAGAGGTGGAGTGGGGAGGTGGTAGGTGGGCAATGAGTAAGCGGCACTCCTAGGCACCACGGGGGAGAAAGGAAGTAAAAACTAATATGACTATTATCACAATGAGAGAGGCCAGATTCCAGCCCTTGTGGGGAACGGAGTTCTAGTTCACACGGGCAGAGTGTTGTTTTGAATCTTTCTTATGTGCCAAGCCGTGTGGGAGGCACAGCATGAATCAGACATTGTCTCTGACATTTAGGAGATAAGACAAGCGTGTAAATCACCACAAAATGAGGGTACACGAGACCAAGGTCACAGAGCGGTGCCAATGGGTGTGTGTGGGGGGGTGCGGGGTGAAGGTCTCTGCTTTCTCAGCCACCATTCAGGGCTTCCTGGAGGTTGGGAGCTGAGCCATGCAGTGAGCGGTGCCTTCAGAAACCAGAGGGAGCGAAAGTGATTTTTTTTATTATGATAGAAGCACATGTCATGATGTCAAAGAAAGCCCTCCAGCTCCAGCTCTCCCCCAGGCTTCTTTATATCTTCATATCACTTCCTACTTCCTGCTGAGAATATATTCTTTTTTTAAATTTTTATTGGGGAACAGTGTGTTTTTCCAGGACCCATATGCTCCAAGTCAAGTACCTGTTTCTTTTTTTTTTTTTTAAAGATTTTTTTATTGGGGAATTGGGGGATAGGAACAGTGCTGGGGAATTGGGGAAGGGGAACAGACAAGTTGCTGTTGTTTTGTTCCTCAGTCTAGTTGTGGAGGACGTTGCTTCACTGGCCCAAGTTGGCACCATCATTGCGCTCTTCCCGGGCGAGGCAGATCAGTCGCCGGCCTCTGGATGGCCGCTCACTGCGGCTGCGGGCCGCTCACGCTGGCTGCTGGCTACACACGGTAGCCCATGGCAACCCACTGCAGCAGGGGCTGCAGCCTACGCCGTCGCCAGCGACTCACGGCAGCCCAGCTCCAGGTTGAGCTGTTGTTCAGCATCTTAGCTGTAGAGGGCAGTGTCACTGGCCCTCATATGTGGGATCCAAACTGGGGCCCTTTGGCGTCCCAAGCCAGCTCTTAACCAACGCGCCACTCGGCCGGCCCTCAAGTACCTGTTTCAATCTAGTTGTTCAATCTAGTTGTGGAGGGCGCAGCTCAGCTCCAAGTCCAGTTGCCATTTTCAATCTAGTTGCAGGCGCGCAGCCCACCATCCCATGCGGGAATCGAACTGGCAACCTTGTTGTTAAGAGCACGCGCTCTAACCAACTGAGCCACCGGGCCGCCCCTGAGAATATACTCTTTACGGCACGTTATTCTTGTCTGTTTCCCCACCTTACTGACACCCCATGAGAACAGGGCCGGGCTGTCCTCTATTTCACTGTCTCCCCACTGCCTAAGACATAGTAGGTGCCCCAAACATATTTATTGACTAAGAAAAGAATATTATATTTATACATAATATAACATATACTATGTTATGGCTTCAGGACAGTATTTTATGTATGGCTGTATATACTGTGTTTTCCCCACTACTTACATGGCGTTTTTTTTCTTTTTCTTTTTCTTTCTTTTTAGCATTTTCCCCTGTCATTAATTAGTTTTTGAGAACTTCCTTTTTAACATCGTATTCCATTACCCTGGTAGTACATTGTCTGTGCTTTATCTCATCCCACCTCTCCTGATCTTTATTCAATTGTATCTGTAGGACTTAAACAAGGAAATAGGTAGAAAAAGCAATGTAAAGATTTTCCTGGTGGAAGGAATGGGTAGGGCAAAGGCATGGGGGTGGGGTGTGGAGTCCAGGAAACCTCTGCCCAGTGGTGTGTTGCTAAACTGACTCTCCAAAGAAAAATTCTAGCATTTGCCGATTTCCATGGTGTGACTTCTCCTATTACTTGGTTTTAAGTTCCCACGTGGCATTGCCGAACAGAGTTGGAGGGCAGAGGCACCGTCCGCTCTCATGAGCCAGTAGGAGTGGCTGTGAGCTCTCCAGAGCCCCAGGCTCAGCGTCTCAGTCCTGGGCAGTGGGGCCCATCAGGGCAACAGGAGCCGAATCTTGGGATCTTTCTATCAGATTTCTCATCTGGGTGCAACCCCCCAGATTCCCTCAGCTCAGCAATCCAGAGCCGCACTGGCCACTGAAGTGTGGCCACTCCATCCGTCCCTGGAATTCAGGAATGGAAATAAACAGCCTCAGAGTTCAGCCACCAAGTGGGGCTCAGAGTCAGGCACAGTGGTGGGTTCAGGATGTCCTACAATGGCCATGACACTTATTGGGCACTTGCTGTATGCCAGGCTGCGTTAAACGTCTGACATTTATTTCACCCCATCCTCACATCCAGCCTATAAGGTGAGCACTATTATCGTCCCCAGTTTACAGATGAGGAAACTGAGGCACCGAGAAGGTAATTCACTTGCCCAAGAACACCCAGCTCGCAAGCGTAGGTGCCAGAATTCAAGCCCAGCTTGGCTGGATGCTAAAGCCTCTGCTCTTAAACCCAAACTCAGCATCTGCTCCGGTTTAAGGCTTTATGAAGCACATGCTGTGTGGGTCCCGTGGTGCTAGACTATGTAGGGAGTTGGCAAGGAGATGATCATGGGTTTGTCTTTAAGGAGCTTCACAGAAGGTGCCATTTCTTGAGCACCTACTGTGTGCCAGGAATGATGCCAGGCGCCTTTCACTGCCATCTTGATTAATTCTCACAACAACCCTGTGAGATAGGTAAGACCCCTCCCACATGACAGCCCAGGCCTGGGTGCTCATAAGCCTGCCCTCCCCTCTGAGTGGCCTCCGGCAGGTCACACTCCTTCTGTGGGCCACCTTTCCTGCTTTGGTCCCTTGCAGGAATAGCTCTAGGAGACCTCAACCCCTCTGCCAGTTTCAGGTCAAAGCTTTCTCCAAACCACAGGAAGTGGCCAGGCCATTGTGAAGTTTGGGGACTCTGTCCACAGCCCCTGGGTAATTGCAGGGTCAGATGCCGGATATTGGACAGGTGACAGAGCTGGCTCCCTGGAGGCCTGGCTGGCACAGTCCATAGCCTTTGTAACCCCCCAGGGACCTGGGGAGGGGTGCCTGGGAATGTGACTTCCTGCTCAGCTCCGGAAGACAGGCCAACATGGCTGATGACAGTTTGGCTGGCATCCCAAGTAGCCCCAGAACTAGGCCCCCCAGGTTCGATCAGGGGCTGGATAGCCTATCTGAGGTCTCTGCAAGATCTCAGAAGAAAAAGGTTCAGCCCAAAGCTCCCACTTAGGTTGAGGGGACGAAGGGCAGGACAGCTGACTTGGAGTAACAATCACATAACAGATACCGTTTTCCCCTGGTAGGGATCTGGGGTGACAACGATTATGGGGGGAGGTGCTTTAACGCCTCCCTTGGGGCTACCACTCTTCTGAATTCCACTCTGGATCACCCCTCATGCCCTGCTGAAGGATGTTGCAATCCTTCTAAGGCTTTGGGGCCAGCACTGCTAGACGCATTTCCCAGATGGGATAACTGAGGCCCTTTGGAAGTCTGGAATTGGAGGACTCACCAGACAGTGGCCAGCTGGGGTGCTGGATGGGAAGTCAAGGACGGAGATTGGGAAGCAGATCACTGGGCTACTCCTGTGGCTGGGCGAGGCGGGGCGGGAGGGGCGAGGGGGGCGGGACCCTCCCAGTCCTGATTGGGCGTTGGCTTCTGAACTCATTCTGCCGGGGCCTTCCCATTGGTGCCCAGCCCGGCGCTGACTGGAGTGAGTCAGGCTCGGCACCAGCCCTTCTAAGAACTCAGGGGGAGAAATAGTGTAATTATCTGCCCTGGGACAGGTCTTTCCAGCCACGTTATCTCATTTGAAATGAAAAATGTACAAACTTGGAGCTGCAGGAGCGGAGAAAAAGGGAAGAAAACTTCTGCCTGGGGTGGGTGGGCATCCTGGAAGACTTCCTGGGAGAGGTTACATTTAAGCTATGCCTTGAAGAACAATAATAATAATATCAAACACTTTTTTAAGCTCCTGTCACTGTTCTGAGACCTGTATCTGCTTCCCTCATATCTGCTTTATCTCATCTAATTATCCCAAACCCCGTGAGCCAGATACTATGTTATTCCCACTGAACAGATGAGAAAACCAAACCAAGACACAGAGAGGTTGACTTGCCCAAGGCCACTCAGCTACCAAGTGCCGGAATCAGGATTCAAATCCAGCAATGCAAACCAATTACTGGCTGAGACCTCCCGCAAGTAATTTAATCCCTCTGAACCTCAGTTTCTTTATCCATAAAATGGGAGTAATAGTACACTTGTGAAGAGGAAGATGACATAATCCCCGTAAACGGCTTAGAACAGTGCCTGGCACACGGTAAGTATTCAAACAATTGTACATGACTTATCATCTCTGTAGTGGTTGTTCCCCTCCCCCACCAGCCGCGGCTTCCTCCCCCGCAGTGCCAGCCCGTGACGTGGGTGCTGCCGCTCGCACAGTCTGGGTTTAATTGGAAACTAAAAGAGATGGAAGGATGTTCGAGGCCCCTCCCTTGACTCTGAACGGCCCCCAAGGGAATGTGCGACTCTCTCTCTCTCTCTCTCTCTCTCTCTCTAGCTACACCTCCCGCCAACCGCGGATACTGCTCCGGACAGGGCAGGGAGGTCTGACTGAGAAGGCGGTGCCGGAATGGTAGGTAAGGGAGGGTCGGGGAGGTGTGAATATGTTGGCAGAGGGCAGGCAGGGGACACACTGCGTCTTCTGAGCCCAATGCCAACTCACCAGGAGCCACTGGCCACGCCCATCATGGCCGTGGGCCGCTTCCCACCTGGCAGTCCGAGACTTGGCGCGCCCAGGTCTCAGCCGCCGGTGCGTTTTGGCGCACTGCGCTGGGGTGCCGGCAGAGGGCGCGCGAGGGGGCCTGGGGACCAGCAGGGTCCTGGCGGGAGGCGGGATTGGGGGGAGGGCCCTGGGCCGCCCCCTCCCTCCCTCTGCCCGCCTTGCCCGCCCCCCAGGAGCTCCAGGCTGGGAGGCAAGAACCGGAGGAGCTCCCTGCGCGCTCTGCCTGCTCTGCGCACGGCTCCTACCTGTAGAGTCCTAGGAGGCGCCCCCTCCCCGGACTCCTGTCATTTCTCCTCCTTCGGAAATCTCCCGCCCAGCTCCTCGCGTCTCGGACAGGCGGCGCTGGGACTCCGGGACAGGGCGCCAAGCTCGCAGTTGGTGATATGTAGACGCCCTCCCTCCTCACCGCGGTCCAACCTCGGAACCTGGGCGCCCTCCTGCCCGGAAAGTTTGGGGCTGGGCGCCATGGCCAAGAGCAGCTCCCTGAATATCCGCGTGGTGGAGGGCCGGGCGCTACCCGCCAAAGACGTGTGAGTACTCCCGGGGCGAGTCGGGGGTAAGGGGTACACCAAACATGGGATGGGGTGGAGGTCGCCCATTCCGCCTGCCGGGGAGGGTCTGTGAGGCGGGCGGGGGTTCTTGCCTAAGACCCCGCATTGGGGCAGATCCGCTTTCACGGAGCGAGAGGCCTCATACCATAGCTGTGCGGGTAGGAGGGGGCGCCCAGACTTAGCAGATGCCCCGCCCTGCCCCCAAGAAGGGGGGATGTCTTTGTTCCTGGGATGTGCTAAAGGGGGTCTTCCAGAGCTTCAGCCGTGGAGATTGGAGGGTCGGATTCTGTCGGAGTCCGGGAGGGGTTTGTGTGTGTGTGTGGGGGGGTCTCCTAGTCAGTCCAGGCAGGTGTCAGAGATGGGGCGTCTCCAGGCCTGGGTGGGCTCTTATCAACAGAACCTTGGGGAGGAGCCCAAAAGGCGGGGGATGCAGGTGGCCCCAGCAATTCTTCTGTGTGTATCTGGGGTTTAGGTTTGCAGAGTGTCACCAGATGACAAACTGTCCAGCCCACGGGGAAACAGGTCCTCTTGACCTAGAGCCCTGAGCTCCCCAGATAGTAGCTCTCAGCCCAGTGTGGGTCTTCCCTGGATGCTGAGTGGCTTGAAGAGCCAGCTCCCCACTGCAGGCCCCTCCTCAGCCAGATGTGATGGGGCTGGAGGACCCATGGGCTCCCTTTAGTACCAGTCCTTGGTGGTGCTTCCCTAGGGCTGAGTCAGCAGTTGCCAAATCAGCAGAAAGGCAGGAAGGACCCCCCTTCTGCTTGGCCTCGAGCCCAGAAGGGGCTGAGGGTGTTGGCACCTGGGATCCTTGGCAGGACATCGGCTGTGTGACCTTGAACCTGTTCCTCTCTGGGTCTCGATCTCCCATCTGTGCAATGGGAGATCTCAGACAGGGGTGTCCACACCCCATGCAGCTGGGAAGGTGGAGAACCTGTTAGCATTTACCTCCATGGCCACGGTGAGCAGGAACCTGGATTCTGAGCCTTTGTGCAGTCCAGGCTGGGGCTTGGCTCTCCCCCAGCTGTGGGTCCTCAGCGATGAGTACCCTGCCTTTGATTGCATGAACCTCCCCCTTCCCCAACACTGCAGCTTTGCCAAGGTGGGGGTGGGGGCTGCTGAGAACTCCCTCCATCCTCATCAACTACTCCAAATAAACATGCCCCTGAGATAGAAGCAGAGAGCTCGCTGTGCGAATGCAGCATCTGGACAAGCCCCCTGCCTCCCACTTTCCGCGATGCCCTCTCAGAGCCCCTGAGAATGAGAGGCTCCGGAAGTGTCTGGGCAATGAGGTTAGGAGTGGGGGCCTGGCAGCTGCTGGAGGGCTGGGGTGGGGGGGCTTCCAGAAACCAGGTTTCCATCTCACTGTGCTCTGCCCTCCACTGCCCCCCAATCCTGGCGAGGGCCATGAAGGAACTCCTTCTGCCTCTCCTTAGGAGGGAGTTGAGGCTCCCTTCATCAGAGGGGCTCTGTCCTCAGAGCATGCTGAGCTCTCCCTGCCCATGGGGACTCTCAGCTTGGGTGTGTTCTCTCTCCCAACTCCGAAGCGAAAGGGTCCAGATTCTTCCTGAAACCTCATCAGGTTTTCGGGGGGTTCCGACCTGGCATAGGAGGACTCAGCAGATAATTTTAGAGTTATTACTATCATTAATAATAGCAGCTGTCACTTTGTAAATTATGTAACTATCTAACCACTGTGCTGTAACTGAAACTAATATAAAATAATATTGAATGTCAACTCTAATTGAAAATAAATACATACATAAATAAATAAATAAATAAATAAATAAATATTTTTTAAAAAAACAATAGCAGCTGTCAGTCACCAAGGGCTGACTATATAGGGCCACATCCTGTGCTTATCTCATCCTGTGGTCCTATTAGTATCTCCATTTTACAAACAGGGAAAATGAGACCCAGAGAGGCAAAGTCACTTGCCTGAGATCATGAAGCTGAGATTTGAAGCCTGACTGCTACCATGCACAAACCAGACTCGGCAGGCAACAATGCGGGGCCCGCTTTCCCACGTTTGAGGTGGGGCAGGGGCCGTGGGAGAGGCCAAGGGTCTGAAGCGATCGAGGGTCTGGAGGGAGCAGCCCCTCTCCCGCCACTCTTGACCCTACCTGATAGGAGCCTGATAAGGCTCTTTTGCGTCAGAGTCCCGGAGCTGATGTATGAGGTTAGCTCCCATGAGGGTCTGGGGGTTAGGTCAGGTCAAAAGCGGGGGGGAACGTGTCCCTCAGCCCGTGGCTGGTAGGATCCCAGCACACATCTGCAGTTGGGGAAACTGCGGAATGGGAGCCTGCTTTCAATAAGCTCGGGGATAGAGAACCCAGAGACAGAAATGAGACGTAGGGGGTTACCCGGTCACTGGCATCCAGGGGGGTGGAGCCAGGTGGGGAAACTGAGGCTCCAATGGGTTTGGGATAGATCCAGAAGGGGAAACTGAGACCTGGGACATTGCACAGAAGGGGGACCAGAGGTGGAACCCAGAGAGGAACTCAGAGGCATATACCACTGCCCAGTCTGAAGTGTTTGGGGATGGGGACCCGATGGGAAAATGGAGGCACTGGAGCACCCTGCAGAGAGGGCCAAAGGAAGGAGTACAGAGAGGAAACTGAGGCACAAGGCAGGCTCCACCAGCAGACAAGGCTCAGGGTGGAGCCAGCTCCCAGTACCGATGTCCCTGTTCCTTGGAATCCCCGAGGCATTTGTGGATTGGTGATAAGCTGAGCTGAGAGAGGGTGGCAGCGAGAGAGGGACTGGGCAGGGGCGTTGAGGGAGGGGGCCATTTGGGGAAGGGGTCGTGAGCTAGGGTGAGGGGGGTGGCATTGGTTAAGAGCATGTGTGCTGAGCCCCTGGATTTGGATTCTGACTCTGCCAGATGGGGGTCGGGGAGGGCGATAGAGGTCCTCGTCCAAGGAGCTCACAGCTCAGAAATTGTGGGGGGCCTGGGAGACAGACGCTCAACGCAGGGAGAAACAAGAGGACAGGGCGATTTCGGATGCTCGGAGGCACTGGAGGTCAATTTTACATAGGGCAGTGGTGGTCAGAGACGACCTCTCTGAGAATGTGTCTTTTGGAGTGAGGTTTGAATGACAGGACGAAGCCAGCCATCACAAGATCAGGGACAGTGTCTTAGGTGGATGGAACAGCAAGTGCAAAGGCCCTGAGGCTTGACTGAGAGCTGGTGGAAGACAGAGGCCTGTGTGATGGAACAGGGGAGATGGGATGGACTGGTAACTCATTATGAAGGGGGGATGCTGGCTTGAACTGGCTAATGGATCAAGGCTCAAGGGATGGGGCACATCTGTTGGTTGAGTTCTGAGGTCTGGGTGCCCTGACCTACAGTGAGAGAGTCTGCTGAGGTCCATCCCCACTGAAAGCTGAGCCATGGGAGTCTCCTCCCTAGAGAAACTCCCATTGAAATGAAAAGCTGGCCAGAGCACTGCTTACCCCAGAGCGGGGAGTGAAAGCACCTGGGGGCAGAGCTCTAGGGCGAGCCTGTGATGCCTTCCTCCATGCATTGTCTCCTTAGTTCCTCCAAGCGCCCTAGAAAGTATGTTAATATTACGCCTGATGTCTAGAGCAGAGAAACCCAGGTCCACGGAGGGGAGGGGCCTTGCCAGGGTCCCACAGCCAGCAGGTGGGGAAGCCAGGCGTGACTCCCCAGCACGGGCTCTTCACTTCTGCTTTGGGCTTCCTGGGACCAGGACTTTGCACTTTCTGGCATCATGCCTCAATGTTCTGTTTCCGTGGGTGGAAGTCAGGGATTCCACATGTGTGGGTCAGGGATGCAGTGCGTGGGCTGTGCCGCCGCCGTGACGCCTGCTGGTCCCCTGAGGTTTCCTGCCTCTTAGCTAGACTTGCTGCGTGGCCCTGGGCAACTCCCCTCCCCTCTCGGAGCCTCAGTTGCCTCTCTCTGTATAATGAAGGCGATGGGGACCCCCACTCATGGCTGCCCTCTCAACCCCCATCCCCAATCACAGGTCTGGTAGCAGTGACCCCTACTGCATAGTGAAAGTGGACGACGAGGTGGTGGCCAGGTGAGGCGTGGAGAGACTGGGCCTGGCGGGGAGGGGAGCAGGTAAAAGGGGAGGGGCTCCTTCTAGACCTGGGGAGACCAGGCACAAGAATTCACAGCGAAAGGAGGAGCTGGAGGAGGGCGATGCTTACCCTGAGGGTGGACCTGTGGGCCTGATGGTGGTGGCTGCTGCCTTGTGCCCTGGCCTCAGGACCAGCAGCTGGGGCTGCCAACTCCGCTGCCCTTTCAGCCCTAACTGGTCCATACCTTCCCTCTGGACCTGCTTCTCCCTGGGGCTGACTCAGCGGCTGCCAGCCTGTGCCTCCCACGGTGGCCTCCCCGGGGGCGGGTATCTCACGCTTGGCTGGACTGGCTGGTTCCGGGCCTGCTGGGTGCTGCGGGCACCAGGGTGTGTGTGTGTGTGTGTGTGTGTGTGTGTGTGTGTACGTGTACCCAGCTGGGTCTGCTTGTGAATATGTGTGGGGTGTTGGATGGCTGGTGTGAATGCCTGTGGCCAGATATGTGTGTCCCTTGGGGTGTGCGGGCTCACAGGCTCACTTTGTGTACTTGTGTGTGGTGTGTGTATGTGTGCACACATAGGGGCTGCCCTGTACACACGTGTACACCCTAGCCGGCTTATTTGGGTGCCCAACGTGAGGGTGTTTGGTGTGTGAGTGAGTCCGGGCAGCGGTGGACATCTGGCTGGGCCATGCTTGGTTCCCACCCCTGCAGGCCAAGCGAAGGACAGCTGTCAGCCCCCGCAGGCCTGAGGGGGCGTGGGTGGGCGGGCAGCTGAGGCCTTGGTTCCTATGGAGACAGCAGGATTTCAGGATGCTGCTGGCGCAGGTTCTGGTCCAGATGGGCTAGGAGCTGGGGGCAGGGAGCCTGCAGCACCCCAGCTGACCCCTTCCATTGTTCTCTCTGTGCGCATGCTGCTCCCTTACCACATTCTGATTCTGCCCCCAAACCTGCAAACTGATTTTCTGTGTTACCCCAGGCTGCTATCTCCACCTCTCTGCGCTCTGAGGAGTCTTCCATCTCAGGGGCTGGGGAGCCTGAGGAACTTTCACCTGGGAAAAGGCCAGGGTGGGGGAAGAGGGCGTTTGGGAAGAAGCATCTATCGGATGGTGGTGCCCTGGGCTGGGACGGAAAGCAGAGAGTGTGTGCGTATGTGTGCATGCGCACACTCTTTGTTGGGGAAGAGTATATGAAAGGAAGGAGGATGGGCGTGGCAGGTGTGCAAACCAAATTTTGCAGCCATAAATTTGGTTGTGTCTTTACTGGGCAAGTAGGTTCTTTGTTCCCTGTTGGGCAAAGGGAAGTGTGTCTGTAGGGGTGTCAGGGTGCAGATGCTCTACGTGTGTCTGAGCTTTTCGTGGTTCTTAATCCCCCTGTGGTTTCCGCTTGCTTACTGAGTGTGCTGGTCCCTGCTGACTTCACCGTCTCCTGGCCCCTCACTCTCTTCCCTTTCTGTTCCTCAAACTCACCATGCTCATTCCTGCCTCAGGGCCTTTGCACATGCTGTTCCAGCCATTTGAAATGCTTGTCCTCATCCCCTCTCCCCACTTTGTCTGACTAGCTCCTGTAGGAATCCTTTCTATCCTATCCCCACTCCCAGACCCAACCGGGTGCCACTGAGCTAACCCCAATCACAGGACTTCTCTCACTGTCAGAGGAGCTCAAGAGAGAGCACATGCCCACTGAGGGGGCCTTTGTGGGGGCAGGGACCTTGGCACCTCTTCCTTTAATTTCCCATAACTCACAAGGCTTGGCACACCGTTGGGATGAGTGTTTATGAAGTGAGTGAATGAATGAATGAATGATGTGTGTTGTCAGTTACTGTGTATTTGTGTGATTCTGTGTGTGTGTGTGTGTGTGTCTGCCGTGTTCAAGTGTATGTATGTGAGTGTGTGTCTGTGGGTCTCTGTGTGTGTCTGGGCATTTTGTGTGTGTGTGTCTATGAATGTGTGTTTTCTCTGTGTCTACATGTGTTGATATGTAGAAACACATAGATGTGTATTTCTAGAGATTCCTGAGGCTGCATATGGGTATCTGTGTACGCGTGAATGCGTCTCTTTGTGTCTGGCTTGGTGTATGTGTGAGTGTCTCTGTTTCAGTGAGTATCCCCATGGGAGTGTGTGTGTGTGTGTGTGTGTGTGTGTGTGTGTGTATCTGGGTCCCCAGGTGTCTGCCACCTGTGTGGCTCAAGGGCCCCCAGCTCCCTGTGCCCCCCTTTGCAGGACAGCAACCGTCTGGCGCAGCCTGAGCCCCTTCTGGGGGGAGGAGTACACCGTGCATCTACCGCTGGATTTCCACCATCTGGCCTTCTACGTGCTGGACCAGGATACGGTGGGGTGTGTGTGCTGGGGACCCAATTCTGGGCACCTGAGGGGAGGCAGAAGAAAAGTGCCCACCCATCCATCCCCCCACCCAGCCCTTGACATCTGCCCCCACGTCTCCATGGGAGGGCCAGGGAACCCTGACTTGAACCCTCACCTGCCCGCCTTTCCGCAGGCATGACGATGTCATCGGAAAGATCTCACTGAGCAAGGAGGCAATTGCAGCTGACCCACGAGGTGGGTGAGGGACCCTGGCCCCCAACTGGGTGGAGAGAGGAGGGGGTGGCCCTGCCCAGAGTGGGCATTTGCAAGTGCATAGCAGGCGGCATGGAGAAGCACAGAGCCCCGAGTGGAAAATTATTTCGGTTTTTGTCTTTAAACAGGACAGAAATGTTGGGGTGGAGGTATGTGGAATGTCACTGATATGACAGTGGATGAGGAGAAGTGGGCAGTGAGGGCTCGTGTAGTCAAGGAAGGCTTCCTGGAGGGAGGGGAATGAGTTTGGCAAAGATGCTAAGACACGTCTCCGTGGAGTCTCTTCAGGCATAGGTCAGGTGAGGTGTGGTACTTGGTGGGGCTTGACTAGAGAGGGCCCTGGGTGCCAGGCCAGAATCTGGACTTTCTTCTGGGCGTACTGGGGAGCAATTGATGGTTCACAAGCAAGAAAGTGAAGATATTGGAGCCATATTATTGGAAGGCGGAGGGATAGGAGAGATTAGATACATTCTCAGAAGATCTCTATGCTGCTTTGTGGATACTGGGTCACAATGTCCAGTGGGCTAGGAGTAGTAGATCTGGGACACCAATTTGGAATCTGTACGATAATCAAGTAAGAGAAAACTGATGGCCTCCTGGAACTGGGGGTAGCAGTGGAGGTAGAGAGAGGTGAGATGGGGCTCCCACTTCCAGCAACATGGGGTCTAGATCCTTAGAAGGGCCCTCCTGCCACGTAACAGTGAGATCCTGAATTAGGTACAATTCCTAACACATTGTTGGATTTACTGTAAAGCAGGAAAACCCTCAGGATTCTCCTCCCATCTCCTCAATCATGAGCAAAACCTAACAGGCAGTGGTGAGCAATAGCAAGGGTTTCCCTGAAAGTTAATATCAGTATCAAATCTGCAGTCAATAGACTAAATCTCGGGCTAGGGCCAAGGCAGATGGTATTGACCCTGAGACCTCCCTTTTACACCAAGATCTTTAAAGAGGCCCAGCATAAGCAAGCACCACACCTCTCCAGGGAGAAGCATCCTCAAGTTAGGTTTCCCACGGAGTGAGATCAGACAAACATGACTCCACGATCAAAGATGACCACGCACACAAGAAAATGGGCCATCGTGAGGAAGAGAGACGGAAGCAATAGCCCTCAGATTTAGACCCATAAAGATTTCAGATTTTGTAATTCTAATGTACAGAATTTTTTAAAAATAAAGTATTTAAGTAAATAAAAATGTAATCACCAGAAAGGACCGGCAATGACCACAATAAGTTAAAGCAATACATTAATAACAGTAGACAGACCTAACAAAGCACCAAACCACACTTTTAGAGACAGCTGATCATTCAGAGAAGCGAGAATTTAGTGAGCTGGGAGAGAGAGCAAAAGAAATGATTTATATTTTAGCCCAGAGAAACAAGAAGGAAATATAAAAGAGAAATTCAGAGATGAAGAAAATAACTGAGAAAGCTTAAAAGCCACTTAATTGGAGTCGTAGAAGGAAAGGATAGAAAAAATTGGGGAGAGGAAATAATAATAAAAAAACACTGGGGAGGGGAAATGTTTTTTAAAAAATTGAATGCCTGGAATTTTCCAGAACTCAAGGGAGAACATGATTTTATAAGTAGGAGAAGCACAACCTGTACTACTAAGCAGAATTTAAAAACAAACAAACATCCTTCCCTAGACACATTGTAGTGAAACTGAAGAGCATCCAAAGAATAGTTTTTAAAATTAGAGAGAGAAAAAAAAGATAAGACCATTGACACAAGAGCAATTATTAGGCTGAAATGACTTCCCAATAACTGCAGTGGAAGCCAGAAGTCAGAGGAACTATACCTTCCAAGTGTTGAGAGGGAGGGAGGGAGAGAGGGAAGGAGGGAGAGAGAGAGAGAGAGATGGAGGACTTCATGTACCAGGGTGAAGGAGTGTGTGGTCAAGGGCATTGTCAGGGTTCAAATCCTAGCTCTGCCATTTACTAGCTGTGGGATCAAGGGCAAAGCTCCCTCCTCGCTGGGCCTCATTTTCCTCATCTGGAAGTGGGGGTAATTACAGCACCTCATCAGGAGGCTAACAGATGACTTAACACATTTTTTTTTAAGATTTTTTATTGGGGAATTGGGGGGATGGGAACAGTGCTGGGGAATTGGGGGAAGGGGAACAGACAAGTTGCTGTCCTTTTGTTCTTCAGTCTAGTTGTGGAGGACGTTGCTTCACTGGCCCAAGTTGGCACCATCATTGCGCTCTTCCCGGGCGAGGCACATCAGTCGCCGGCTTCTGTACGGCCGCTCACTGCGGCTGCTGGCCGCTCACGCTGGCTGCTGGCTACACACGGTAGCCCATGGCAACCCACTGCCATAGGGGCTACAGCCTACACTGTCGCCAGCGACTCACAGCAGCCCAGCTCCAGGTTGAGCTGTTGTTCAGCATCTTAGCTGTGGAGGGCAGTGTCACTGGCCCTCATATGTGGGATCCGAACCGGGTCCCTCTGGCATCCCAAGCCAGTTCTTAACCATCGCGCCACTCGGCCGGCCCTGACTTAACACATTTTTAATGTTAATTGAATTTTTAAGTTAACACAATGCCACGTACACGGTAGGTACTTAATAAATGTTAGCGCCTGCGCCCTCCAGGAATCGATAGCTGGATCAACCTGAGCCGCGTGGACCCCGATGCAGAGGTACAGGGTGAGATCTGCCTGGCTGTGCGACTGTTGAGGGATGCACGAGGCCGCTGTCTTCACTGCCATGTGCTCAAGGCCAGGTATGCTCATGCTGGGGTGTGTGGGGGGCAGTCTGAGAATATGCACAAGTCCCCTGGTTCCCCCCAGCTGCTTTGGCCTTTGGTACCTCTTCACTGCTGGGCTCACAACCAGAATCCCATGTGGGCAAACAGTTCAAGCTCCCCGGATTGCAAGTTCTTGGGGGTCAAAGCACATGTGAAATGCTTGCTGGGTCCCCAGTGACCAGCAACCAAAGGCAACACACTCAGCATGTCCAGAGAGATGGGTGGAGGTGTATTAATCAAATAGTAAGTGATAGGTAGCCAGTTCATACTGGCTTAAGCCGATTGGTTCCTATGAATGACAGGGAGCTTCAGGCATGGCTGGATCCAAGTGCTTAAATGGGGACATCAGGAATCTGTGGACACAGATTCCTCAGTGGTTTTTTGTGTTAGCTTCATTCTCAAACAGTCTCTCCCGCTAAGTGAGGGCAGAGATGGCCCCAGGCGCCCCAGCAGCCATTCTAACAACTTGGCAGCCCCAACCAAAAAAGAACTTCAGCCTCTTATCATTTCCAACCAATGTCTGGGGACTAATTCTTACTGGCTCAGTCTGGGGCACATGCCAATCTCCGAACCAATTACACTGACTCTGATTGGTCAGGCCTGAATCACAAGCCCATTCCTGGACTGGAGGGAGGGATCAGCCCACCTAAGTCATGTGGGCTGAGAGTGGGGCAAAGGAGGTCCTGTCGCAAAGAAACCTCTGAAGGGAGACAGATGCAGGGCTGGCAAAACCCACAGATGACCCTCTGGGGGCACCAGCTCATGGGATATCTATCTTCCCTCCCGCCTATTTGCCCCCTTCTCTCTCTTTCTCTCAGCTCCCCCATCATATTGCTTTCTTAAATACTTCCACCCCCTTTCTCCTCTCATCTCCCATCTTGTCTTTCTGCCTTTTTCCCCCCCACACCTTACTCCCCCAACCTTCACTTTTCAGCCAGTCCTCACCCAGGTTGGGGAAGATCTCTGTTTCTAGCTTGCTGTGTGACTTTAAAGTTCTTTCTTGCCCTCTCTGTGCCTCTCCAATCACCAGCTGGGGCTTCCAGGAGTCTGAATGAAAGGTACCCGGGGGGGGGGGGCAAGGGACAGGCTGAAGGACTCAGCATGGGCATGGGCTCCTCATCTGCTTTGCGTCCAGCGCCTCCACACCAGCCACAAGGCTGCGCGGGATCCTTGCAACAGGAAAGGGACAGATTGCTGTCGCTTAGCAACTGGGCTGGCTCCTAGGAAACCAAAGGCTTTGGATGCCTAGCACGGGTGGGAGAGGAGTAGCAGAAGGAAGCAAGCAGCCCCTGGGGGGTGTCCTGGATTTGGGGGACCTCAGGAAGGAGGGATGGGGGGGGGCTGACGGACATGACTTTGGGTTGTCATGACAACCAGAGTCAGGGGTCTCTGCCTCATGCCTTTTCTTGGGTCCTAGGTAGGGTGTGGGCATGAGTGTTTGTTGAATGAATGACTGAGCTGAGCCCTCACCACCGGCCAGCTGCTACGCTAAGTCCTTGACACACATCATCTGATTTAACCTGGGCCCTGTGAAGTTGGTCTGTAATTAGTTTCATTCTGCAGATGAGGAAACTGAAGCTCAGGGAGATGTGACTTTTCCCAGTGTCTCCCAGCCCATGAATGGCAGAGCCAGGCTTTGAACCCTGCCATCTGGTCTCCCATCCAGGAGCTCCAGGGGAACCGAGGCCCCCTTCCTTCTCCCCATTGCCCCTTAGCCTGCTGGGGTTTATGATGCAGGATATGACCTTTCTGTACCCCTGCGTCGGTCAACAGGAAGACATGGGGTTTGGACAGACATGGTGAGGGGGTGCTCCTCACTGGGTCCCTACAATGGAGTGGTTCATTGCCTTGGAAACAAGCGGCATTTGAATGGTCTACCCGGAACCCCTTTTCCAAGGTCCAGCTTGGGTCTTGGTCTGCGAGGGTCCTGTGTCCCTCATTTCTTTCCTCATCTGTCCCCAGAGACCTGGCCCCCCGAGACATCTCCGGCACTTCTGACCCATTCGCACGTGTGTTTTGGGGCAGCCAGAGCTTAGAGACTTCGGTGAGTGGTGGAGGGGGAACTAAGAAAGAACGGGGCATCCGGGGGGTGGGGACCCTGTCTCCCTCACTTCCTTCTTCCCCAGACCATCAAGAAGACGCGCTTCCCACACTGGGATGAGGTGCTGGAGCTGCGGGAGACGCCAGGTCCTCCATCCCCACTGCGGGTGGAGCTCTGGGACTGGGACATGGTGGGCAAGAACGACTTCTTGGGCATGGTGAGTACCCCCTCCGATACCCTCCATGGCTCCCCACTGCTTCCCAGGGAGAAGGAAGGGGAGGTGGGCTGGGTATCCCAGGGCCCGGAAGGGTAGATGTGAAGGCTGCCTCATCAGGTTTCCTGGCCCTGCTTGGGTAATGGAGTCCTACTGCCCCTTTGTACATTTGAGGAGACTGAGGGTCTCACACGTGCAGGAACCTGCCCAAGGTCACAGGGTCAGCCCAGATTTTGATTCAGGTATGAGCGTACCCAGGATGACCGTGTGCTGGCCCTGTGCTAAGTGCTCCGCTAGCCTAACCTCATTCACCCTCATGGCCACCCTATCATTGTGCCCATTTTACAGATGAGGAAACTGAGGCTCAGAGGCTAAGTGGCTTTCCCAAGGTTTTATGACTAAGAACAGGCAAAGCCAGCATTTTGCGTGCAGGTCTCTCGAACTCTAGACTCTAAGCCCTTAGCTCCTATTCTTGGAAGAACTGAGCTCAAGGTGTTTCTCTTGGAACCTCAGTTTCCCCACCTGTAGAATGGGTGTGATTGTTCCCGCCTCTCGTTAGTAGTGGATGTACATCAGGGTTGACAGTTTTTAAAAGGAGGCAAGATTAGAACAAGTAAGAGGGAAGCTCGGTTATGCATCGCTGGTGGGAACGTAAAATGGCACAGCTGCTTTGGAAAACGGTCTGGCATTTCCTCAGCCGGTTAAAGACAGAATTACCACGTGACCCAGCAAGATCACTCCTAGGTCTGTACCCAAGACAGGCGAAAACCACATGTCCACAGAAAACTTGTACATGAATGTTTATAGCAGCATGGTTTATAATAGCCCCACGTGGAAGCAACCCAAATGTCTATCAACAGATGAATGGATAAACACAGGGGGTCTATCCACACAATAAAATATTATTCAGCCATATAAAAGAACAAAGTACTGACACACGCTACAACATGGATGAATCTTGAAAACATTATGCTAAGTGAAAGAAGCCAGTCCCCAAAAAAACCCCCACACATATTACGTGATTTCATTTATATGAAATGCCTAGAATGGGTGAATCAATCTATAAAGACAGAATGTATAGATTAGTGATTGCCGGGGGCTGGGGGATGGGGAGTGACTGTTAATGGGTACAGGCTTTTGGGAGGGCTGATAAGAAATGTTCTGAAACTAGTGGTGATGTTTGCACGACTCTAAATGTACTAGAAGCCATTGAATGATACACGTTCAATAGGTGACTTGTAGGGGTGCAAATTATATCTCTATAAAGTTATTTAAAAAGGAGGTGGGGTTCGAGGACCCTCTGGACTGTCTTTAAGCCTTTTGATAGATGCAATTGTATCCTTAAACGGGGCTGAAAATACAGTCAGTCCAGGCATATTGTCTCTAGCAGCTGTTGTGACCTTGGGCAAGTCACTCTACCCCTCTGAATCTCAGTTTCCTCTACTGTCCCTGGAGACCCTCAGTGCCCTGGCAGGACTAATAATTTGAGACCGGGGGGAGGGAGTGTCACTGCTGTTGTGTCAATGGGCTACCGTGGGGAAGGTGGAAGGGGCCTCTGGCGGGCTATGCTGCCCCTGCTTGGGTGGGCAGTCTGAGCTTTTCTTCCAGGGCTGGGTGGGGCAGGGCAGGACTCAGTCGAGGGTCTGTATGTCCCCTCACAGGTGGAGTTCCCCCCGAAGGTCCTGCAGCAGAACCCACCCAATGGCTGGTTCCGTCTCCTGCCCTTTCCCAGAGCCGAGGAAGATTCTGGGTAAATGTGGGTGCGGTGGGAAGAGGCCAGGCTGGAACCATGTTGGGTTCCATCTTCAGCCCGTGGTCAGGTCCGCACGGGTGCCCACGTCAGCCCACAGGCTATCACCATGTCACTTCATTCATTCAACGAAGGTTGAGTGTCTCACAATGTGTGTTTACGTATGTCCACATGAGTTTACCGTATACCCATCTACCTGTGAATGTGTCAGTTCACAGTTGTTGATGTGTGTGTTCAGAACCTTAGGTCCTTCCACACCTGTCCACACCTGTTCACACTGTCTGTTCTTATACACTTGTTTATACCGGCCACACCGTTGACACTGTCTGCGCTTATCCGTTCCTGTTTATGCCGGTCAATGTCTGTTCACACCTGTTTAGACTGGACACACCTGTTCACACCTGCCCACAGCTGTCCACACCTGTCTTCTTTTGCAAATATCCATGCTCCTTACCTGTGTTCACACCTGCCCATCTTGGCTCTCCGCACCTGCCCGTACATACTTCCCTACTTACCTACCTGTGATCTGACCCTGGTCAGGGGGAACCTGGGTGCCCTGCGGCTGAAGGTGCGCCTCATCGAGGACCGCGTCCTGCCCTCGAAGTGCTACCAGCCCCTCATGGAGCTGCTCATGGAGTCTGTGCTGAGGCCGCCAGAGGTGGGTGCGTCAGGCAAGCAGCTTCACTGGGGTCAGGGTGGTGCATGCGGCCCTGGTCCTGGCCTCCCCCTGCTTCATGGATACCTATCTGGGCTCTTCTGCTTCGGGGTCTCAGGACCCTGGGCCACCTTACCTGCCTCCTGTTCTTGCCCAGGAGGATGATGCCAGCCCCCTGGCTGTGCTGGAGTTGACCTCGGGGGACTGCCGCCAGGACCTCGCCACCAAGCTGGTGAAGCTCTTTCTCGGCCAGGGCCTGGCTGGGCCCTTTCTGGATTATCTCACGCGGCGTGAGGTGGCGCGGACCAGTGAGTTTTGCCCAAATGACCCCCAGACATCAGTCCCCAAGGATGGGTCTGCAGAGGGTCTCTGGGGGAGAAATGGGAGGGGAGGGACTCAGGCAGAGGACAGGGGCTCCTGTGTGTGTGTGTGCGCGTGTGTGGAGGGTTCCCTGTGCTGTGCGTCCCAGCCAGCAGATTTTTGTTACTCGTGAGCTGTGTGACATTAGGCAGATCGCTTAACCACCCTGGGCCTCTGTATTGTGAATGAAGTTGATATTACTGGTTTCCTTGGTTCCTGAGGCGGGAAGAATCCTGACCCCCACCTTGGGTGGGTGGGGTGAGGTGGGTTCAGCCCCCCAAACCCCAGCAAACACTTCCCTCTGTCCTCCCAGCCGACCCCAACACCCTCTTCCGTTCTAACTCCCTGGCATCCAAGTCAATGGAACAGTTCATGAAGGTGAGTGGACGAGGGTCTGCTGGGGCCTGGTGGCAGCTTCCTTAAGAGGACCCCCTTCCCAGTACTTACCCGGACACCAGAGCTTGGCTGACTTCAGGTGGCACTGGGTAGCTGAGCTGGGGTGCTAGTGGTGAGTGCCTAGCCTCGCCCTGTGTGGCACGCCAGCCCTTGGGCATGTCCCAGCCTCGCTTTGAACCTCTCCCTGCATGGTCCCCCTGCCCCTAACTCACGGGCACCCTCCGGCCTCACCCTCAGCCATGCCCTGTGTGGTGCCCCCTGCCCCCAGCTCGTGGGCATGCCCTATCTACACGAGGTCCTGAAGCCGGTGGTTAACCGTGTCTTCGAGGAGAAGAAGTACATGGAGCTGGACCCATGCAAGATGGACCTGGGTCGCACCAGGTGAGCAGAGCTTGAGGGGTGACCCCAGACCCCCTGACAGCCCCCTTGTCCGCTTGGAGCCTTGTCAGGCTGGGTCTGTGCCGGCTGCCACCCCCTCAGGAGCCCTGCATTCCACCCCAAAGTCCCTTGTGCGAGGCTCAGGCTGCCTAGTGTAGCGGTTCCGGGCAGGGCTTTGAAATCTGAGCTCCTTGGGTTCAAATCCCAGCTCTGCCACCCCTAGTAGTGTGCAAGTTACTTACCCCTGTGGGGCTGTGAGAATTGAGTTATGTACGCAGAGCCCAGCATTAACTAATACTCCATAGTATAGGTGTTTCTATTATTGTTGGGGTGGCCTCCATTCCATGCCTTTGTGGGCTCCCCTTCTCTTTCCAGGACCTCCCCCACTCCAGTCAGGGTGGGCGGGCTTGTTCCCACCAGGCCACAAAAGCTAGTTGCTGGGCAGTCCATCGGGGACTATGGTAGGGACAGGAGAGGGTCTTATCTTCACTTTGGGCCCTGCCCAGCAAGCGCTGCCCACACTTTCCAAGCACGCCAGAGGCAGGCATCTGGGCCCCTTTTGCCAGACGAGGAAACCGAGCCTCGGGGAGGGGAGGTCACCTGCCTAGGGTTGCACAGCTGGGAAGTTGCACATCAGGGATATGAACCCAGGCCCTGAGCAGAGGGCAGAGTCTGTCTGGGAAACCCAAGGTGAAAGCTTTTCCCAGCACATCTGGCAAGGATGGCGCAGGGGCATCTGGCGACCTGGGCAGGGGAAGGTAACAGGCTGACTCAAGCGGGCAGCCCTGAGTGCTAATCTTGGCTTTGCCATCTGTTTACAAGGTGACCTCTCTGAATCTCAGTTTCCTCATCTGTTAAATGGGAACGATCAGGCTAACATAGCCCCTCAGGTTGCCATTAAGATTAAACGATATATTTAGTTATTTAATGCCAAAGACATTAGTTCAAGGCTTAGCTCGCTAGGTCCAGGGCACAGTGGGGCTGAAAACCCCCAGCCTGGCTTCTGTGGAGTTCTCAATCTGAGAGTGGGCAAGCCAGCCCCTACACCTGGTGGGAACAAGAAAGGAAGGAACGGGCTCATTGCAGATAGACAAGTGTTATTCCATCATCCACTCTACAAAACAATTGCTGAGCATTTACTGTGTGCCAGGCACTGGCTGAACACCGAGTTCACAACAGAGAATAAATGGGCACAAATCCTTTTTCTGGGGCGAGACAGATCACAAACGAAAGAAGGTTCCTGTAGGTGATCAGTGGAATGAAGGATGATAAACCCGGGGAGAGTGGTGAGACGTGCCAGGAGCAGGGGAGGGGCTTGTGCTATTCCATAGGGTGGTTACAGTGACAGCCTCTCAGAGAAGGGGACATTTGAGCAAAGACTTGAAGGAGGTGAGGGAGGGAGTCATGTGCAGATCTAGTAGGAGAGTGTTCCTGGCAAGGGGAACAGCAAGTGCAAAGGCCCTGGGGCGGAAACGTGTGTCTGGCATGTCCATGTTGAAAATGCATTGTGATAATGTGCAATGGGGGAGGGACGGCCTCTTTGAGGAGGTGACATTTAAGCTCAATGTGGGGGCAAGCGTGTCCCAGGCAGAGGGAACCATATGTACAAAGTCTCCAAGATAAGAATGAGTTCTGTGTGTTTAAGCAGCAGGAAGAAGCCAGGTGGGGATGGTAGGAGGGGAAGGTTGCGGAGGTGGGATGGGAAGGTGGGTGCTGTCTGAGCCCAGTGGGGGTTGGGGGAGGGTTTTGAGTGGATAGGGGCTGGGCTCTGAGACAGAGCCTCTCCACTTGCTCCCCCAGGAGGATCTCCTTTAAGGGCACACCCTCGGAGGAACATGTGAGGGAAGCCAGCCTGGGGCTGCTGACCGGATACCTGGGGCCCATTGTGGACGCCATTGTGGGCTCCGTGGGGCGCTGCCCGCCTGCCATGCGCCTGGCCTTCAAGCAGCTGCGCCGGCGTGTGGAGGAGCGCTTCCCCCAGGCGGAGCACAAGGTGGGCCAGGCTCCCCCGTTGGGCAG